GGAACAGCTTCGGGTCTCATTCACAACCTGGTGGTTCAGCTCCATCCCTCTGTGGAAGAAGTTCAGCCTATGGACCTGCACTTGTCCCCATCAAGCCCAGGAGGAAGGCCAGAACCCTGAGTTGCTGTGCCATTAGTCCAGGGTCTGAGGCTCCAGTAGTCTAGTAATCTGTTTCCATCTGGTCCACAAACAATGATTGATACTGCACTTTGGCCTGTGCAGCTGCTAAAGGGAAAGAGCACAACTGTCTCTGGCCTTTTTTAAGCTTTAATTTATATTTCCTTGGTTTTGGGAAGAAGTAAGCTTTCTTTCAAACTACCCAGTCTCTCTCCTGGGTCTTCCTAGGGCTATGCTAGTGCCTTCCCCTATCCAATCATTCTCTAGGATCTTCCAGAGTTTTGTTCTCCTTATTCTGTATGGTCTTTTTACCAGATTTTCCCAGGCTAGACTCCTTTTGGTGGTTGCCATTTTGGCTCCTACTGCACATGTCTCCTAGTTTTGCTTGGTCACCTAGCTCCTACTGCACATGCACCCAGCAAAGGAATTTCCCCACGTGGGGATTAATGTCCCTTTGGCTGAGAAATGTGGCTGTTCCCTGAGTGTCTAAAACTGCTCCTTTCTAGTTAATCAGGCTTAATGTCTGATTCTATTTGCTCCCTTCCTTTGTTGATACATACCCATATATTTAAATTTTCTTATCTATCCATTTACATATATAAATTAAAAACTATGAATTCATACTGATGCTGCCAATTCCAGTCCCATACTCCAGGGCTTAGTCTCATCTTTTTTCCTCATATCCTTTTCCTTTCCTTGTTAGGTCCTTCTCCAAAGGTGAGAAACCTGATTCTTATTCACAAAATATTTACTTATTTGTTTAATCATACTGCACACAAAAGTAGTTTCAGAATTGCTGATGTATTCCTTTGTGAGAAACATATTTTTAAACTAGAGTATAGTCTTTGTTTTTAACTTTAAAGTATAGTCATAATCTGTTTTCCAAAGTTACTTAGGTAATTCCCCCCCTCCCCCCATCTACTTCTGTATGGTTATGTTACTCTTTTGTAATAAAATTAGGTCCATTTATGAGTTGTCTGTATTTTAAGTTCTTCCCACATCCTGTTTGATTTTAATTTCTCACAATCTTTTTGAAGTATTATAAATGATGACATTTTTTTCTCCATTTATCTGTAATGAAGATCTTTTTAAAAGGACTAGGTATGCTTAAAATTAGGTACAGTTGCAAGTGCTGGTAGTTCATTGGAAAGGAGCTGTTCTCTGGCATTCCCTTGGGCTTAATTGCCTCATTTCTTAGCTACAGCTCTCATTTCTACATTTTCTACACTTGGGGATTTACTCTATCTACAAGGCTTGGAATCAGTCCTCCAACTAATTCTTCTTTGTTATGGTTGCATAATTTTAGACCCAAAGTCTACTACAGACTGAATACTAATTCCCTTATTGCTGAGATAAATCATGAGTTAAATTATTTTGCAGATCTTTATCCTTTTTTTTTTTTGAGTTATAATTTATATACCATGAAATTTGCCATTTTAAGTGCACAATTGGTGGTTTTTAATATATTCACAAGGTTATGTGCATTGATCTTATTAAAGAACATTTCCATCACTCTTCAAACAAACCCCTTATCCATTAGCAATCATTTCTTGTTCTTTGTTTTCCCTAACCCCAGCAACCACTAATTTGCTTTTTGTCTCAGTGGATTTGCCTAGTCTGAATATTTCATGTGTGACCTTGTGTGTTTGAATGACTTCTTTCTTCTATTCAGCATTCATCCACATTATAGCATGTATCATATCTTTTTTTTTTTGGTTAAATAGTGTTCCATTGTATTGACGTACCACATTTTATTTATTCATCATCATTTGGTGGAAATTTGGCTTCTATCTTCTGGCTATATAGATAATACTGATATTAATGTTCATGGACAGGTTTTTTGTGTGAATGTACATTTTCAGTTTTTTAGGTGTATACTCAGGATTAGAAGTGCTGGGTTATATGTTTAGTTTATTGAGGAACCCCCACAGAGGTTGCACCATTTTCGTTTCCACCAGCAATGTTTGAGAGTTCCAATTTCTCAACATCCTCTCTAGCATTTGTTATTTTCTGTGTGTGGTTTTTAATTGCTCTCTTGGGAGTAGAAAATAGTATCATGTTGTGGTTTTGATTTGTATTTTCCTAATTACTAATGATATCAAGCATCTTTTCATGTGCTTATTGGCTATTGCATGTGTTATGCCCAGATTTCGTGATCCCCAAAGACCACCAGGGAGCTGAGTCCGATGCAATAGCAGAAAGCCTGTTCCATGCTAGCATGGGCTCTGTCCCACTTACACTGACATCAGCGTGGTGTAAAAACACGAGCTTCAACAGATCAAGGGGTTTTATAGAGGTGGTGATGTCACTGCTTTGGCTGACCCCGATTGGTTGGGTGAGGGCTAGGGTCCAGTTACACAAAATGGAGGATCAGGAGTTCTGCCCTGCCTTCTCATTCCGAGGAGTTAGCTCCACCCTGCCCTTTCACATATTCTTTGGATAAATTTTTATATAAATCTTTTCCCTTTTTGTAATTTTGATATTTGCTTTTTTTTGTTGAGTTGTAAGATTCCTTCTGTATTCTGAATACTAGGAATGTATCCTATACCGGTACTTGCACAAGCAAAAAGGTTTGTGCAAGGGTGTTCCTTGTCCATGGTTGCAGATGGGCAAAAAATATATGAAAAGGTGTTCAATCTTAGTAATAAAAAAAAGTAAATTAAAATATCCATTTCATACTTATCAAACTGGCAAGGATATTTAAAATGTAGTGATGCTTACTTTTGGCTAGATTGCAAGGAAAATAGAAGCTCTTAACAGATATTGGGAGTTTATTTGACACAATCTCTTTGCAGAGCAATTTGCAATAGCTGTGAGAATAAAATTTACAAACCCCAAACAGTTTTATAATGTTGGTGGAAATCAGGCTCTTTCACAGGATCATGAAGAAAGCATTCCTAGGACCCATGCATGAGAAATTGTGGTGTGGCAAGGTTTATTTTGGTGGAAATAGGTCCCTGGGTTTCCATTGCTCCATCTCTGTCCGTCCCACCATGGAAAAAGTCTATCTTGATCCTGTCATTGAGGGGATCAGTTAAATTGAAGTACTACTATATATTGAAATGCTCAGTGAGCTATTAAAAAAGGAGGCAGATCAGTATGTGTGGTGAAATAGAGAGATCAAGATGAATTGAATGAAAAAAGAAAATTCTAGTTATGTGGTTACCTTTGTAATTTAAAAGCAACCAGAAAAAAAAAAGCTTGTAACAAACATACCTGCATAGAAAATGACTGGAAGTATACACAGAAAATAGTTAACAGAGGTTACTACGGGGCAGTAGGATTGTGGAGTTGGGCTTATTACATTAAACCTTTTCATGTTCCTTGCTATTTAAAAACAATGAACAGGTTTTTATTTTTTTAAATAATTAAAATAACTTAGTAATATAATTTTTAAAATTATAGTTCTCTTTAGGAATAAGAATGTAAAAAAAATTTTGGGGGGGACAAGTTGATTATTTTGTATGTGATCCCTGTTGTCTCCAGAGGTAAATGCCTTTTTTTGGTTGTTATTTGTATTGCTCTACTGAAAATGGATTAGAATGAGCTTTTGCTCTTGGATACAAACATATAATAATAGCATTGAAAATCCTGTTTCATTCCCAGGCATTTAAGTGTGGGAGAAACATATTATTTATTATTGTGATTATAAACATGATTCGTGATTGTGGTAGTTTTTAATTTGCCAAATAAGGAATATTTAAGAACTGGTCTACATTGGAGCCTGATTGTCCCACTGTTCTTTTGTCCATGTTCTGGAACTTCCAGTTTCAGTGTGGTAGGTAACCTCTTTACAGTATTTCCTTTAACAGAGGTTACTAATTCATTGTTAGGAATCTTAGTACCATAGACCATCAATTTTCAACTGGTGTGCAGCAAGAGTTTTTAAAACATGCAGTACCTAACTATTTAATCAGGGGCACTAACCTCTTTTTTCTTAGGTTGTCAAAAAAATGATAACAGCCAACACAGTAGCTGACCCGTGTGAATGAATAAAAATTATATATATATTTTTTCCAGATTGGCAAAAATATAATGTTTTTTGCTGTGCTGCAGAATAGTAGTAATTAGTTTATATGTGCCATGAGATGAAAAAGGTGAAAATTGCTGCAATACATAATAAAAAGCCTATGGTATCTCCCTGTGCACAAATATTGTAATTTTTTTATTTTTATTTTATTTTATTTTATTTATTTATTTGTTTTTTGAAGTGGTATGGTTGGAACTTAAAACTACTCTGTATTCTAGATTAGAGCAAATATATACTTATGAAGCTGGGTATATAGGTGATGGTTACCTTCAACTCTGTGACTTGCTCTGCTTGTTTGCAGCCCCTTCACTAGTTTGTGCATCCTCTGCTTGTATGGTCTCTTTTGCTTTTTGTTTTTCCCCTTTTGTGGTACTTTAAGTCTACTTGCTGTCATGGTGCTTCAAGTAGCTAGGTGACCTTTCTGGAGAGTTAAGAAATGAGCTGACCAGCAGGAGTAATTAAATGGACAATGTTTAGCTGTCCCTTGTCCCTTGTATGAAACGTAATGAATTTATTAATATAGGATTCTAACAACAGGGAATCAGTAAGATCTGCTGGATGGGATTTTACTTTTTGATAACAGCCAACACAGTAGCTGTGTAAAAATAGCATCTTTTAAATTTAATGTGAAATTTATTTTGTGTTCTAGCTAACACTAATTTTTAAAATGTGTTTTCTGGAAAAATCAGCACATGGTTAGTATAAAATTATCTTAGTACTAGATATTCATTATTAATATTTTTTTTTCTAATTGGAAATAAGTTGCTGTGAACATTTGAATTTTTATTTGTTCTAAGCTGCAATAGAAATGTTTGGTATTTGCAAATATTTTTCCTTTGGTTTGATTTTCTAGGTTGCACGTTTTCAAAAACTTCCTAATGGTGAAAATGAGACAATGATTCCAGTGTTGACATCAAAAAAAGCAAGTGAATTACCAGTCAGCGAAGTTGCAAGTATTCTGCAAGTAAGTGCTTGGTGGGGAGGAAAGGAGCACCTAATAAAGTCAGTCACTTAGACTCTAGATAAGTGCTGTCCAGTAGGATTTCTGTGTTACCCAATATAGTAGTCACTAATTAGAAGCAAGACTATTGAATACTTGGTGTGGCTCTTTTAGGGGAAGAGCTGAATTTCATTTTATGTAATTTTTATTTATTAAAATTTAAATACCTGCTTGGACAGTGCCTGTCTAGATCATTAGCATTACCCAGGACTATTAGTACTATGTAAGGATTAGTTGGATTAGGAAAATAAACTTTAATTATTAACGTACGTACGTAGAATTAGGAGTTAATCTTTTTAAATGTGTTTTGTAAAGTAAAAGCTAATAAATTTTAATCTCTTTCTAATTTGGAAAAACACAATCTAATGAAACATGAAGAAAAGAATATTTTTTATTTTTCCTTAAAAATTTATATATTTTAGTTATGGCATTAAAAATATTGGCTATTTCTTATTTGATGACATTCTTTTTTGGTTGTTGTATTTATATTCTGTTTTAAAACTACTTATTTTAAATATATTTCACTTTTGCAAGACTCTGTTAATGGATTGTATTATAAACTTGGACCAGAGAAACTATTTCAGGGGTACAAGTAATTTAATTTTTAAATGATAGTTACAGTAATGAATCATGAGAGACAGTGGCTGAATGTAGGTGGTATTCATAGAACATAAAATATCCCAGGAACCAGTTCATCTTACCTTCATTATTTTGAGTAATTTAGGAACCACAAATTTTCTGCCTGAAATAATTATAGTGTAAGGGCAAAGTTAATACTACTAATCTCAGGGTTTTAATAGGCTTAAAGAACACAGAAGGTCATTATGGCTCATTGATTGTTCTTTTGGAGAAACTAATTCTAGAAAACAACAATGAAAGCAAAAAAAGCCAATTAGGATATAGTGATACTTTACTTTCTGTAAGAGTGGCTGGTTTGTATTCTTTTTCCCCATAGAAAACTATTTTTTGTTGTTATTAATCCTCACTGGAGGATATTTTTCCATTGATTTTTTTAGAGAGAGTGGAAACGGGGAGGGGTCGGAAGAGAGAGAGAGAGAGAGAGAGAGAGAGAGAGAGAGAGAGAGAGAGAGAGAGAAACATGGTGTGAGAGAGACACATTGATTGGTTACCTCCCACGTGCACCCCAACTAGAGCCAGAAATCAAGTCTGCAATCTAGGTATGTGCCCTTGACTGGAATCGAACCTGGGACTCTTCAGACCACAAGCTGGTGCTCTATGCATTGAACCAAACTGGCTAATTTGTTGTTTACATAAAAAAAATTTTTAAGGTATCATTTACATAAGCTACAACATACCCTTATTTAGTGTACAGTTTGCATTTTGACAAATATAACCTCCCACAATTAAGATATAGAACATTTTCATCACTCTCCAAACTCTTCCCCTATGGCCCTTTGCAGTTAATCCCTCCCACTGTATATCTCTGGCCCCAGGCAACCACTGAACCACTGATATGCTTTCTGTCAGCATAAATTAGACCTGACTGTTGTAGAAGTTCCTATAAATGTGATCATGCCAGTAGATACTTTTTTAAAATATATATTTTACTGATTATTTTACAGAGAGGAAGAGAGAGGGATAGAGAGTTTGAAACATCGATGAGAGAGAAACATTGATCAGCTGCCTCCTGCACACTCCCTCTTTGGGATGTGTCCACAGCCAAGGTACATGCCCTTGATCGGAATCAAACCTGGGACCCTTCAGTCCCCAGGCCGACACTATCCACTGAGCCAAACCAGTTAGGGCGCGCTCTCTCTCTCTCTCTCTCTCTCTCTCTCTCTCTCTCTCTCTCTCTCACGCTTTCTCTCTCTCTCTCTCTTTTAAACTATCTTTATTTATTTCAGAGAGGAAGAAAGACGGAGAGATAGAAACATCAATGATAGAATCATTGATGGGGTGTCCCCTGAACACCCCCCACTGGAGATGGAACCTGCATTCCCAGCACGTGCCCTTGGCCGGAATTGAATCTGGGACTTTTCAATCTTCAGGATAACACTCTCTCCACTGAGCCAAATGGCCAGGGCACACAGTAGATACTCTCTTGTATTTTTTTTCTTTTGTTCTCTGCTAATATTTTCAATAACTTTCATATGTAAAATCTGATAGGCTGATCTTCAGAATGGTCTGAACAAATGTGAAGTAAATCATAGGCGAGCCTTCCATGGCTGGAATGAATTTGATATCAGTGAAGATGAGCCACTGTGGAAGAAGTATATTTCTCAGGTGAGAAACTGTTAATAGTAGTTTCCTTTGCAGATGTCTAATTTATACCTTTTTTTATATTAGGAATGCTAACATTTTTTAAATTAATATAGACATCTTAGAAAAAATTTTAAGGTAATATAACTATCTTAGAAAATTAGTAAAAGTAAGTGACAATTTGAATTCAGATCTCCTGGGTACATATTTCACCTTTATTTATACTATATGTATGATCTTTACTATCCTCTGAGCCTTGTCTATAAAATGGGGATAATAGTGGATATCAATAGGTGATAGCTATTTTTAATTACATTTTATCAGTAGCTTAATCTTTTCAGAAAAATTTATTGTCAGATTTTTTTTCTTACCTTGATAACAAGTTATGTTAGTATGAAAAACTACAAGAATCCTATGGCCGATTTTCCACTAGTAAGGTTAGACAGACAATTTTTTTTTTTTTTTTAAGTAAAGACAATTTTTACCTGCATCATGGGATTGCTGTAAGAACAAAATGAAACAGTGCCTATAATATAGTTAAGCATAAACAGTAATTAATAGTAAATATCACTTGTCAATCATAAAGCATTAGGTGACTCCTTTACAGAAAACATAATTTGTTGTTTTGCAGGCATTTGTTGAGCCTGTAAGTGGTGTCATGCTTTTCATTGATTCAAGAGATAGGAAGACAGAGAGAGATAGAGAGAGAGAACGATGTGAGAGAGAAACATCTGTCACCTGCCTCTCATACATGCCCCTACCAGGGATCGTACTTAAAACCTGAGTATGTAGCCTGACCTGGAATCCAGCTGGCCACCTTTAGGTGTACTGGCCATTACTCTCACCAACCGAGCCTCACCAGCCAGGGAGATAATTAATTAGTTTTAGGTATTGATATTTTTCTTTTTTTTCTGAAAGGAAGATTTTTTATAAAGTGGTGACTTTAAATGTAGTTAAGTGTAACCTTTTTTGTTAATTGAAGAGATATACAAAATAAACTAAATGTAGACTCGTAAGTTTCTAATTATGCCTCAATAGTTTTTGTTTGTTTTTTAAGAGTTTGCAGTGATGGAACACAACTATCATTCATACAAAACTGTTGAATTGCTGTTTGTTTTCATTTTCAGTTTAAAAATCCCCTTATTATGCTGCTTCTGGCTTCTGCAGTCATCAGTGTTTTAATGCATCAGTTTGATGATGCTGTCAGTATCACTGTGGTAAGAAAAAATATATATATATATTTTTTAAACTGTCAGTTACTCATGGAAATTAGGATTGGCTTTTATTTTGGAAAGTGAATTGAGAACTGCCTTAGTGTTTTCTCAGGTTTGTCTTCATTAGTTTCCAACTTGGTTTTAGTTGCAGTAATCTCAAACAGTGTTCAAGGGTTAGTGATTGGCACATGAGAATTATTTACCAATTTGCTAATTTCACAGATACAAATATTTTATAAAATTTTCCAGTTACATTTTTAAATTTATTTTATTTTCCAATTGAGAGTACATTTTGATTAGCTGTGAACTAAAGCTTCATGCTTATGAAACTAAAAAGTTTGATTTAACAATGCACACTATATTCACTATGTAAAATTTTATTCTTTTCAGTTGGAAAGTTTTCTCATCTTTTTTTAATGCCTCTTGTTTCACTGCAATATAAAAATTTCTAGCAAGTAAAATCATTGAATAAAGCAAGTGTGTTATGCATAAGAACACAGTAGAAATTAATGTAGAGCTGCAATTTTTGAACTCTTTCTTGGGGACCCCCAGAAGTCTCTGCAGTCCTTTCAGGGAGCATATACAACTTTTTTTCATAATACTAAAACATCATTTTTCTTTTCACTGTAGATATTTAAGCCAGTGGTACAAAAGCAATGGTGGATAAAACTGTTAGAACCTTGGCTCAAATCAAAATAATGGCACCAAACTGTACTAATGGTCATTGTTCTCTTTTATTTCTCATAGGAATGTTTTTGATAAAACAGTAAAAATTAATTTTATTAAATCTTGACACTTGCAATATATACATTTTTAATATTTCGTGTAATGAAATGGCAAGTATGCATAAAGAACTTTTGTATATTGAAGTATAGTGGCTATCTTGAGGGAGGGTGAGTATGGTGAGCTGAACTAGTCTTTTACTTGATAGACAAACTGGTATTAAAACTAGGATAACACATATTTTTTCTGAAAGTAAATAAAATGAGTCTTCCACTTCAAGAAAAACAACTGACAATTGATTGCCAATGATAAATTCAAACTTTCAAGTGATGATTAGAATTTTGCCAAATTTTTATGCATTACTGTGTGCTAGATAGCTTCCCAATATTAAGACTTTATTCTGAGATTAGTAGTAGTTCAGTGAGAGTGATTTTTTTTTTACTATTATGAAATGTGTCAACATTTGAATGAGTTGAATAACCAAGTAAATCAATATTTTGTAAATTACTACAGCATGATGTTAGAGAAATTTTAGTGATAAAAGATCAATTCAAAATGCAAGGTAGATCAGTGGATTTTAACATAACAGGTTATGAAAGTTCATTGATACTGTTTTATATTCTACATTGCACCTTACTTTTACATAGCTAACATTTGTCTAATTTTGTTATAGTAGAAAGACTATACACAATATAGTCTGGTAAAGCTTTTTAAAATATTCCTCCTTTACCCAATAATATGTATGAGGCTAGAGTTTCTTTATATACTTTGGCCTAGTCAACCTAGTATAAAAAATTGAATGCAGAAGCATATATGAGAATATAGCATTCTCTTAAGTCAGACATTAAAGATAAAAAAATTGAAAACTACCACTTTCCTCACAATTTTTTTGTGGTGAAAATATATATATTTTTTTTAATAAAAAATGTGATGTGTTAACATGTAAAAGGTTTGTTAATTTTAGATGAATTAATAAGTAGAAATTAAAACTAATTGAAAAAGTATTTAATATGACAAATATCAGTAGATATAACCTCCATAAATAAAATCAGATCAATTTTTAGAACATGAAGAGATCCTGAGATCAGAAAGTTTGAGAAGCTGCCCCTGGGGAAGCAAGCCACTATCCGTTTTTTCCTCAGAGGGCAGAGCAAAGTTGTGATTTCTTTCCCAGTTCATCTCAGTATTTAGTGTCTGGTATCTTGGTCCTGCAGATAGAGTCAGAAAAATAAAATACAATTAATAGTTATTTTTGATGTTCTAATGTGTGACTTAAAAGGATGTTTCTTTGTTTTGTTTAGGCAATACTTATCGTCGTTACAGTTGCCTTTGTTCAGGTGAGTAGTTAGCCTATTTGCCCACATGAAAATGACATTTTATTTATTTGCTTAAAAATTAAGGTAACTTATGGCAGAATCTGTAGTTAATAAGTCATGGTAATGTTTGTCTCAACAATTTATTTATTTATGAGATAATTTTAGAAACAACTCTCCTGGGAAATTTGTGGGACTAATTTTTTTCTTTTTTTTTAATGCTTAGCTAGCTCCCTCCCTCCCTCCCTCCCTCCCTCCCTCCCTCCCTCCCTCCCTCCCTCCCTCCCTCCCTCCCTCCCTCCCTCCCTCCCTTCCTTCCTTCCTTCCTTCCTTCCTTCCTTTAAATATGTTCTATTGATTTGTTACAGAGAGGAAGGGAGAGTGATAGCTAGAAACATAGATGAGAGAGAAACACCAACCAGCTGCCTCCTGCACTGCCCTATCAGGGATGTGCCCGCAACCAGTGTACATGCCCCTGACTGGAATCAAACCTGGGACTTTTCAGTCCGCAGGCTGATTCTCTATCCACTGAGCCAAACCGGTTTTGGCTGTGGGACTAATTTGACTGCTTTGATTTAGGTAGTGGCATGAAGAAAATCTAGTCTTTTATTTGATGGTGTTATAGACAGCTGAAGCAGATGGAAACAAAACCACAGTAATAGATACATATCCATCAATAGGTTTAAAAATGTTTTTTCATTTAAAAAAAGTTGACCAAAGTTTAAATTTCTTATTTCTTTGTAGAAGGGATGTTCTGATCTTGATCAAACTGAGGCTTAGCATAGATATTGAAACAGTAAATAAAATATACAAAAAGGAACTTAATTTTTTTAAAAATATATTTTTTGTTGATTCAGAGAAGAAGAGAATGGGAAACAGATAGAAACATTAATAATCAGAGAGAATCATTGCTTGGCTGCCTCCTGCACACCCACGATGGGGATCAAGCACACAATCCAGGCATGTTCCTTGATGGGTAATTAAACTGCAATCTTCTGGTTCATAGGTCAGTGCTCAACCACTGAACCATGTCAGTTGGGCTACGAAAAGGAACTTAAAAAAAAAAAATTAATGTGAATAATGTGGAGATAATTTCAGGATTTTTATTTTTAAGTAAAAGCATACATAAAAACATAGGCTTAGTTTTATGTTTATTTAAATAGCTGATACCTTCTGAGAACAATGTTGGCAGGTCTCATTTTATTAACTAAAAATTCTAAAGCATGTTAAGTAAGATTATAAGGATTATTTTAATTGAGAGGGAAATGTAATGTATCATAATCTTGAAGATCATGTTGTTTTGAGTCTTAAGTGATTGTGGTTATTTTCACATCTATGATTTATTACTTGGGTATTTACTGTCATCTTATAGTAATATCTAATTTAATACATTTATTAATTTTATAGAATTCCCATGTAGAAAAACCAGTTGGAATCAGATTATCTACAATAAGTTTGTGAGCTCTATCAGTCAACTGTCAGGGATTCTGTTTCTAGGGAACATTTTTTTTTAAAATATATATATATATATATATTTTTTTTTTTTTTTTTTTTTTACAGAGTGGAAGGGAGAGGGAGAAAGAGAGAAACATCAATGATGAGAGAGAATCATTGATTGGCTGCTTCCAGCACATCCCCCAGTGGGGATCAAGCCTGTAACCCAGGCTTGTGCCCTTGGTTGGAATCGAACCTGGGGCCCTTCAGTTCGCAGGCCAATGCCTTATCCACTGAGCCAAACCAGCTAGGGCTCTAGGGAATCCTCTTGCTTAGAACAGAGAAAAGTAGCCCTAGGGAGGGAGGAACTGCTTATTCTTACAGATGTCATTCCAAGCTAGGCATCGTTCAAGGCAACTATCATTCAGTCATGTGGGTGGTATAACCCACTGGATCAATTATTGGAACCCTCTTGCATCTTTAATAATGCTATAGATATATGTAGTGACTTTCTTCAGAAATATTCTTAGTTTTATCACTGTATATGGAAGACTTTAGCAGCTTGTTTTGGTAAATAGAGAGCCCTTACCCTCAAAAAACAAACAAGCAAATTGCAATTTTAACATAGTCAACATAGAATTTTACACAAAGATAGTGTTTACTCGCTTTAATAAATGTAGTGGCTGAAACCAAGCAAACTTATTCTATAAATCTTTGCAGTTAGCATGGACCTAAATCCTAAAATCAGATGTTGCTTGAGGTTGTCTTGACTTTTTTGGTTATTAAACTTTTTTGGTTATTAAACTTTTTTGGTTATTAATAAAATTATCTTAATTATGAGACTCAATGATCTTAATTTTTAATAACTGAAAATTATATACTCTGGTTATACTAATCAGTTTTCTTCATTTTCTTATAAATAACTTGACCTTAGATTTGTACACTAACATTAAAATATAAAATTGGAATATTTAATAATCAAAATTGTTTGTCACTATAACATTATCTAATAGGAGACAAGCTTTTATGTGCAGAATATAATTGCAAGTAAAGGAAAAGGTAACAGTTGGGAAATTTTAAAATAACGATTATGATCAGCACTTAATTAAATCTAATATAGAATATGCACTTAGGAAAATACATATTTACATTTCTTTATTAAAAATATTTTAATATTATGTCCTGTTTCTTTGTTTTAAATAGGAATATCGTTCAGAAAAGTCTCTTGAAGAACTGAGTAAACTTATGCCACCAGAATGCCATTGGTATGATCTTTGTCTCTGATACGGATTTCTACTTTTAAAAATAGAAATTGAATGCGACTAATGCAATGATACATTGTGGCCTCAGACTTGTTTATTATTATTTTTAAACATAGGCTTTTTGACTTACAAACATTAATTTATTCATTTGTTTATTTTTAACTTTATTGTTGACACTATTACAGATGTCCCCATTTCCGTCCCCTTTGCCCACGTCCATTAAGCACTGTTGTTGGTACAGTGCTGCACAAACAGACTCAGATGATTATTCTTATGCAGGCAAGCCCACCGGAATCACCTTTTAAAATAAAATGGCATGGCTTTCCTTTTTAGCCATGGTTGTTTCTGTTCCATGTTACAGTGTGCGTGAAGGAAAATTGGAACACACACTTGCACGAGACTTGGTTCCAGGTGATACAGTTTGCCTTTCTGTTGGGGACAGAGTTCCTGCTGACTTACGCTTGTTTGAGGTAAGTTTGTCGTCTTGATCTGTTAGGGCTGCTCCAAAATTCCACAGACTGGGCTGCTTATTATCAATAGAAGTTTATTTCTCACAGTTTCTCACGGCTAGAAAGTTCAAGATTAAGGTGCTAGCATGGTCAAATTCTGGTTTCCATGGTGTATGTAACGCGCTCCCAAGCCCTTATTTCCTTAAGAAACTTCTACTGTAGCCTCTTACTTCCCAGTCTTTTAGCTGTACCTGCTGTTTTCTGTCCTTGGCCTGCCTGCATATGTTTTTAATCTTTTAGTAGACGCTCTGAAAGCTACTCTAGGGTGGATGGGGTTGTAAAATAAAGATGTAGCTTCTGCATCATCAGTTCCTTAGGGACTTGCCAGACAGGTGAAAACACACAATTGCAATATTTTAAAAACAAAATAACCTATATTAACCCCTTGACAACCAGTAAGCTACACTAGGAATATAAGCTTCTACCTGTACAGCCAACACAGCTGTTTGGGGAATGGGAAATAGAAGACAGGTAAACAAAAATTTCACAATGCTTTCATATTGAAATTGAGCCACCTTTTTTTTCTTTTAGCAATTCCCTGGTTGCTTCAAGTTTTTGATTCCAGAGTTGATTCTGTCAGTTCTTGCCAGCTAATGATTGTTTTAGTGGAAGGACTTGGAAGGACTAATTCTTTGAGTGTCCTGCTCCATTGTTTTTCTTTGACATTATTCCTGAGTTGTAAATTTTATATTGACTTCCTAAATTTGATAAATTGATTTATTAAATTTGACAAATCACTCTTATTGTGATTTGTCATTGAAACTTTGCTTTTTAAAGTTTCTGAATTATTAAATTTATGTACAGATTTGTAAAATAGGACAATTTTGGAAGTGGAGATTTTAAGCTAGTTGTTGAAAGAAATTCAGTAGAATTTTGAAAAAGCTGTATGGTATATTTATGGAATTTAGAAACATTCCTATTCACTAAAAACTAATTGATATAATCATCATGTATATTTCTGTAACTGTATTAGAACAAAGCTCAGCAAGCCACTCCATACTAAAAGCACTGGGAGTGTTTGTTCTCTTAGATAGTATAATCTTGAGCTTCCAATTAGTGTTCTGTTACCTGATTTTGATATTTCAGTGGTAAAGCAGTGTGAGCTGAGGAATTCTGTTCATGCGTATAATGCTGAAGAGAAATAACCTTTTTTTCTCATTAAGTCATTAGAATTTAAAAAGACAAGAGACAGTTAGAAATAAGACTTAATTAGTGACTTTATTTAAAATTCTCATTTCATGTTGGTAGGAAAGAACTGTTGCAAAAATAAATCCCTCTTTGAAATTTGGTTTCTTTTCACACTTAATGGAATATCTTAGAAATCATTGTTAACTGAATGCTGGCTTTTGGATTACTGGCAACAATTAAGTTGAATTTGTGTACTTACATAAAAAAGTTAGCAATTTATGCCAGCACATTCAGTGGCTACACATGAATATTTTGGAAGATTTTTTTTAGGAGGAAGAACTTTCTAATTTATTTTTAATTGAAGTAGAGAGGAGATTGACTTGGTAGCATACAATATACCAAGATGTTCTTTAATTTGATAACCTATTTGTAGCTTCCAATTGTTGCGTATTAACTATAATTAAAAGCAGTCACTTCTGTCTTTTAGGAAACCTTTGTGACTGACATTTACTTTCTGCCTAATGTTTTATAGGAATAGTACTGAATTTTTTCAACAGTTTTTATTTTGTAGGTGTTAAATATTCAAATTGTGGATTATAGATGCATTTCTATTTTTCTTTATATTCTATTAAGCTGCATTGCATCTTATTCACACCAGAGTGCCTGAAGAAGAATGAAGAGAAAGTGAAATATCAGTTTTCCTACTCATTAACTTCTGAAGGTTTAATGTTTAAAACAGCAATTTTTAACTGTTAGTGCCATAAGAATTTTTAAAACATGCAATATCTATTTAGTCAGGGATACTGACTTCTCTTCCCTTAGATTGTCAAATTAAAAAACAACTACAACTAACAACAACTAACAACAGCAATAGCTCTCTGGTGTGAATGAATCAAAATTATTCTTTTTTTTGGTCAGGACAAAAATGTAATATTTTTTGATGTACTATAGAATTTTAGCAATTAGTTTATGTGCTGAGATGAAAAAGATTGAAAATTGTTGGTTTAAACTTTTGGCTAAAAGGTGTGGAACTGGCTGGTTCTTTGATTTCATCCTTCCTTTCTCTTTATCATGAATGAAATGAATAAATGATTGTATTATCTTTTCAGATTAATTAGTGACCTTGTTAAACTGTAATAGGCTGCCTAATTTATTAAGTACCACTCTTCTTTGAAATGAATTCCTTCCCCTCAGAACTGCTTCCTGTGAAAACTCTAATCACCATTAAGAGAAAATAACTTGTAACTTTGAAAATACTCTTGTTCAACACAGTTGAGGTCTATGCACTTTGCTACATTGTATAATTTCAACATTTTATTGATAATATATTCTTGATGATTTGAGTTTTAAGAATTTATAATTATATATTTTCAAAAAAGGTAAGGATCCAAAGTCCCTTAGCCCTCCCCATCGATTTGTGCACTAGACAAGACTGATTGCTTTTTTTTTTTTTTTTTTAATATATTTTACTGATTTTTTTTTACAGAGAGGAAGAGAGAGGGATAGAGAGTTAGAAACATCAATGAGAGAGAAACATCGATCAGCTGCCTTTTGCACACCCCCTACTGGGGATGTGCCCGCAACCAAGATACATGCCCTTGACCAGAATCGAACCCGGGACCTTTCAGTCCACAGGCTGACGCTCTATCTATTGAGCCAAACCAGTTTTGAGCCAAAGACTGATTGCTTTTGTGCTAAAAATGATATGCGTTTTTTTTTTTTGTCTGCAGGAAAATCTGATTTGAATAAAAATTCTCACTCTCAAATCGTTATTACACTGCTAAGACTGACACTTATAAACTAGGTTACTATTGGAAAGAATAAAACCATGCATTTCCTCTCTTTTTAAAAAGTCATTTTTATTCTCCTTGTTTATATAGATAACTACCTAATATTAGTATTTACTCATATTTAAGATTTACATTAAAGTTAAAAGTCTTCAGTGGGAAAGCACAAATTTTACTTTCCTCAGAAGAGTTCTATAGATGTATACAAGTTTTGCTTCTTGTAAATATTAGCACATCTCTTTTCTAATTAAGAGCTCGGAAAATTAACAGGAAGTTCTAATTTTTGTAACAAGTATCAAAGAGGAGATTATTCAATAAAATAACCTTTTTGTTGACTTTTTTAACTCACAGAAATATGTAACTTTAAAAATATATCTTTGCTTAATATTTTCTTGAAGTAGTTCTAAAACTGGGGAGGAGAAATAATGTGCAAATTGATCTGCTAAGTAATTGAGAGAAACCGGACTTAATCTGTCAACATTTGGTTTTCATGTCAATAGCTTACTATGTATGTGATATTGGGTGAATTACTTACTCTTTTAAGGTGTCTATAAAATAGGCACTGAGTGTCTGCCCCTTGGTGGTCAGTGTGCATCATAGCAACCAGTCATTCCTCAAGTCATTCTATCATTTGGTCAATTTGCATATTAGGCTTTTATTGTCTAGGATGGGAAACTTTTTAAAGACTAAAGGACTGTTGGTTTGTGTTTTAAGATAATACTTTTTATAAGCCTGTTTTAATACTAAAGTCCATCACATTCACATGGCACTAAATTTTTAGGAAATGTTAATACTTTTTGGTCTTTTCTTAATCGTGGTGTGCCTGTCTCATATATATATGCGCTTATGTGTGCCTGTCTGTCAGTTATCTATCACATTACATATGCCTGTTAACATACTTGGATCTATTGTTCTGTGGACCATACTTTCAGAATCAGAGCCAGGTCATATCTGCAGTATTTTTCACATATAAATGGTGATTATTTTGTTTGTTTGTTTGTTTTTGCATGCTTGGGTAGGTGAATATGTAATTGTATTAGAAATGAAACCATCAGAATTGAACCCTGTTGCAGAGTTGGAAGATAATATGACATCTTGATTTGCATGGAATTGTTTATACACATTTTTTATTTAAAGTTTATAATGTTTATATACATTTTTGCCTCATGTATTTTTGCTAATGTACATTTGGTTTAAATATAGAGATGTATATTAGGAAGAATTTCATGAAAGCTGAGCCCAAATGATGAAATGATTTCTTATCAGTACCTTTTATACCTTCTTTTCATATTTCTCATTCTGTTGTGGTTGGTTTTAATCTGCCAGTCACATTTTCAGAACTTTAGGGCATGACAAAAATTAGGAAATATTATTTTATCATGAGAGTTGAGTTTTCACTAAAGATTAAGTCTCAGCCAAGTGTCCCATTTTCTCTAGTTGTATTTTGAAATTTAGATTAGTCTTGTCTCATGATACAGCATTCTACTTTACATACTGGATTTTGTTGACTTAATTTTTAAATATGGTTGTACTTATTCTGGTCTTCTCTTTTAGAGTACTGGATATGATAAAATAAAAAAAAACTAGGATAATTAATAGAAAAGGGGATATTTGATGAAGTGAGGGTTACAAACTCTTGAGATGTTAAATGTAGCACAGAGAGTTTTCATCCTTGAATGTAATGGGATATTTTATGTTCCCCAAGTCTGTGGATCTTTCCATCGATGAGTCCAGCTTGACAGGAGAGACAACGCCTTGTTCTAAGTTGACAGCTCCTCAACTGGCTGCGACTAATGGAGATCTTGCATCAAGAAGTAACATTGCCTTCATGGGAACACTGGTCAGATGTGGCAAAGCAAAGGTAATTTTTTCTTGTTTTGAAAATAGCTATTCCTTGTTTTTTTTTTCAACCATTTTTTCTTTTGCTAATTTTATGTGAATCTTTAAACAATACAAGACAGAAACAACAAAATTAAACCTAATCCTTGGCAGCTATTTGGAAGGCTGAGGAGAAGCCCCTGAGGTATAATATCTGTCCACAGTTCTGCCATTATCTCATCCTTTAAAGGCATAGTCCTCAGCACTTGTTCTTTTTTTCCTTCCTTAAAAAAAATTTTTTTTTTAAAGATAGAAATAGTGGCTCATAAATATGTTCATTACTGATTAAATAAAATTGGAGCTTATTTGATGTGGTGTTGGCTATAATCTGACTACAAACCATTCACCTACTGATTGATTACAAATATTTTGTTTCTGGAGTCTATAATTTCACAGATGTAAAAGGCATCATTCAGTAGCATTTGAGGGGCAAATATATTCTACTTTAAATGTCTCTATTGAGGATAAGATTCAAATTTCAGAAGTATTTATATAAAAAAATGGACTTCAAAATTGAGTCAAAAATAAGTTTAAGGAAATATTTTTCAAGGTTTGTATCACAAGGTACAAATAAATACTAATAATCTCTAGTAATACTTTCTAAGGGATCCTTGGATATATGTGTCATATCTTTACTGTAGGAAAGACTTTCTAAGGGATCCTTGGATATATGTTTCATATCTTTACTGTAGGAAAGAAATCGAGTAAAGGTTTTGTTATTGCTGAGAGAAGATTCCATCTGAAAGTAAATATATTTTCCTGTTTTTTTTTTCTTTAGGGTGTTGTCATTGGAACAGGAGAAAATTCTGAATTTGGGGAAGTTTTTAAAATGATGCAAGCAGAAGAAGTGAGTACTTAGTTTGTTAATGATGCATTCGTTTCAAATCTCACATCCTCTTTTGTAAGTAAAGAAAAAAAGAATATTTGTAGATTATTTTATGTACTATTGACAGTAAAAGTTTATTCAGAATATCACTCAGTTGTCTATGCTTAAAAACATAATTGGAAAGTCTGATTGGAAGAGCTTGAATTGGCATTGTTTACATTCTAAAACATTTTTATAATTATTTGTTTATAGGATAAAAAGGTTCATAGCTTAGTTAGAGGACTAAGTCTTTTGGGAATGAACTTTATCATATTACCTTTTTTTTTTTTTAAGAATAGTTTACTGATTTTTAGAAAGCAAAAGGGAGAGGGAGAGTGAGGAACATCGATATGAGACTGCAACATTGATCGGCTGCCTTCTGCGCACCCCCTCTACCCTCTCCTACCTGGGATAGAGCCTGCAACCTGAGCATGCTCCTGGTACAGGGATAATGCCCAACTAACTGAACCACACCAGCCAGAGCTATCATATTAATTTTAAAGATTAGTAAATAGTATATTTGTACCTCAGAACATGTCTTCTACCAAAATTCCCAACTTTACAAATAATGGGAAAAAAGATAGCAAAATAAAATAATCTGGAAGATATTCTTGTTTAAGGATTTTGAAGATTAGTTCTCTCATTTAAAGTGTTTTCTTATATATAAAAAGAAGTTGCCTTCTATAAATATATTCTCCCTAAATCGTGGATTTCTCAGGTAACCTGCCAAGACTCTAGTGTTCATATGCAGTGTATACACCATTCCAAGAAGCTTGGCATTGAAGAGACTGCTAGAAAAGGGCATTAACTGATTAAGGAACCAACAGAGTAGAAATACTTGGGTTCCATCATGTTTGTGGATACAGAAAGGAGAAAGATGGTAAATGTAAGGGACAGTTGATAGTAATGAAGTCCTGGAGAAGCTGATTGGAAGTACAGGTTTTTCCTCAAAGAGAGGCTTAGAGGAGAGCATGAACCTTTTCAGATAAATAGATATTTCAGTTTCCCCAGTGAAGGGGGCCATGTTTATCTTAAGGGATAGTTGTATGTGTTAAGCACTAGCATGGGTATGTCAAGCATTTAACAAAGTCCGTGGCACTTAGTATATCTCTCTAAGTTTAGTTAATTATAGTGACGCACTTTTCCAATTTGTCAAGGCACCGAAAACCCCTCTGCAGAAGAGCATGGACCTCCTAGGAAAGCAACTTTCCTTTTACTCCTTTGGTATAATAGGTAAGAGAAGAGTGAGTATGTATATCTCATATATTTACTTAGGTTGTTTTTTTTTGTTTGTTTTTTTATTATGAAAGGGTATTTTACACACATGCATGCATACATACATTTATTTATTCATTTATTTTTAGTTTTATTACTATTTTTAAAAAAATTACAAAACTATCCCTTAGCATTGTTCTGATAAAATAGAACTCTAGTTTTGCACAGTGTCAGTATCGTAGCCAGTGAGGTTTATTCGAGGTGCAATTATTGCTAATTGAAAAAGGGAAGCACCAAAGGAACCACCAAAAAACACAAAAAACAGAACTTTGTTTGATTAATATAATGAAAGAGCATTTTTGTAAACAGTATTTTTGTCTTCAATAAAATGTGATAGTATTGAATTATGGATTACTTTTTTTATTTATTTATTCTGTCATAAACATCTTGTCATTAAATAGATGCTCATTAAAACAAATTTAAATTTGTAGAGTATTCCATTGTGCATTCTTACCATCTTTGTTGTCATTTTCTTAACAGGTGAATAAAAGACTTATCATTATTTTATTTCAGAATTCAATATTAGAATAACTGAACACTGTCATGTGTGTGTGGGTCCATTTTTATGACCTGCCAGGCTATTTCTTTGGTTCTGTTTTGTTGTGGTTTGAGTCCCAGATTTGTAACAACTCTTTGTATACTTAGGATATCAGTTCTTTTTTTTAAAAAATGTTATGAGTATTTTTCTTCAATTTTAAACACACACACACACACACACACACACACACACACATGAATGTATACACATATATGGTATAATTCATTGATCAATTGATCTAAAATACAATTGCAAAGTTGCTGTATTAAAACTCTGGTTATATTGTATTTTTCCTCATAAAAACAGTAGTGCACCCTTTACACCCCCCCTTTTTTCAAAGACAAAGGTTAAAGCCGAGAATATAAAATCTTGTTTCACTTACATTAGTTGATTTTTTTATTTTTAAATACCATAAAAGTAGTAATTCTTAAATACTAAAAATGAAGTAAGATATATCATTCTTTGAGCCACGTCCTAAGTACTTCTTTGTTTGTAATACAAAATTAATATGTAATGTATGCATATTGAGTTACCAGAGTAAAGTTTCTGGGGTTTTTGTTGCAAAGCTGATAATAAGTAGAAGACCTATATGTCTTATGTGACCTTTTCCCCCCGTTATTGTATAAAATTATTTTTTTTATACTGGGAGTATTTATGTGCATGTGTGCATCACAGCATTAACTTTAATCTCTCCTGCTTACTGCATTTTTGTAAAATCTTGTAATCACTTCCTAATATACTTTCCCCTTTAATATCAAGGAATATTTTGCTGCCCTCAGTTTCTATCCCTTCTATGCCTAAGTCATTTTATATAAAAAAAGAAAAATTTCTGTTTGATTCTGTTGCAGGTATCATCATGTTGGTTGGCTGGTTACTAGGAAAAGATATTCTGGAAATGTTTACTATTAGTGTAAGGTAAGTTCTAATGGTTATAAATGGAAGTCTCTTTTGCTCTTCTCATTTCTCTGATAGGTATAGCACATGTTCTATTGTGGAGGTATTATATGAGCACATATGGTATAGCATCTACTTAAATAGTTCAGAATTCATATATTGAAATGAATTAAAACCAACATATATGACAGTGGATCAAACCTATATTAGATATTTGGTATTATCAACCCATTATTGCATTTTTATATGTAAATAGATTTAAATATCAATAAATAAAAAGTAGTAGCATGAAAGAGAAAGACCACAATATAGAAACTGAATAATTTTAGTGCAAAAATGAAAAAATTTCAAGAAATAGAAGAAAAATTAAAAGCAAACAGCATTTGTACTTTAAGAGATTTATGAAGAAACTGCATTATAGATTACTATAGAAAAGTATACAGAACAAAAAAAGAACTTTTAGAAATTAAAAAAAAGATTGCTGAAATTAAAATTTCAATTTAAGGGCTGTGGTAATATACAATTGAGGAGGTCCCCCCAAAAAGTAGAATAAAAATTCCAAAACAGAAATGAGATAAAAGTATCTAAGAGGATAATACAATAACTACCATATCTAACTTACAGAAGTTTCAAAAGAGGTAAGAAGTTTTGTAAGAAACGATGCATTAACATTTTCTCAATCTGAGGTGAGATATGACTCTATAGTTCTGAAGGATTTTCTAAATGCTAAGCAGGATGAAAAAAACTCCCAACTAAATGCAATCATTGTGAAACAAAAGAAAAAAAAAAACAAGTTAGGCCATTTACGAAGGAAGGCTAATTAGACAGGTATCAGACTTCAAATTAGCAACTGCAGTTCCCATCACAGGGTCTTTTTAGGCTCTACTAAACATTTCAACTCATAAGACTTTTATAGATCTCATCTGGTACCTGTGCCCAGGTATGTGCCTTGACTGGGAATCAAACAACTAGGCAGCTTCAGGCATCCCTCTTCTAAGTGAGTCCTTGCTGCAGTTTGTGCAGTTCAGCTTAGGTGCAAAAAATGAGATGACCTTCTGTGTGTGGGTACTACACTGGGTTAAAATGCTCCATATGCCACAAGAGCCAATATCTCTGGAAACACACTTTCCATGATGCCTACAAGAAACATGTCTAGTTAGTTATGAGTCACTACTCTCAGAAAACCCAAACTATGACTTCCTGTTAAATAATTATAATTCTCTGAGTCCATAGACAGTTTATCAGTCAGGAGGTGTTGCCTAGAAACATAGTTAACATGCTACCTTTTATCAGGTCACCAGGAGGACAAGGTTAGAGATTTAATGAATACAGAAGGGGGAAAGAATTTTATTAATCCTTCATCCACAGCAATGTTGGATTACGTTTGAAGACGATGGGGCAGTATTCTGAAAGTATGGAGGATGATTTTAAGTCTATAAATCTAGTCCTGGCTAAAGTATCAATCCAATTAATTAAAAATAGACTAGAGGCCCAGTGCACAAAAATTCGTGTTCTCAGGGGGATCCCTCAGCCCCCCCTGTGCCTCTCGCACTCCAAGACCCTTGGGATATGTCCACCTGCCATCTTAAGCCGGCTCTCCCAAGGATTGCACCTAAGCTGACATCCCTCTGGCAACTTTGGAGCCCTTAGGCCCACTTCCTGCCTAAGCCGCAGTCGGCATTGGCATCTTTAGCACTGCTAAGGAGGCAGTGGAGGCTTCTGTCACTACCTCTGCACTCGCAGCCATCAGCCCGACTTGTGACTGAGCAGAGCTCCTTGCTGTGGGAGCGCACTGACCCCCAGGGGTCAACTCCTGCATTGAGCATCTGCCCCCTGGGGGTCAGTACGTATCATAGCAACAGGTCATTCGTGGTTGTTCCACTGTTAGGGTCAATTTGCATATTACTCTTTTATTATCTAGGATAGGCAGATAATCAGAAAATTTATTACTTACCTATCCTTGTTTTTACAGAAAAGCAAGGGTGAAAGAAAGGAAGATGATGATGTGTGAGGTGTAAAGTAAGAGTGAAGCTCACCTTGGCATCTGAAGAAAACAAATGTAGAAAGTAATAGTTCAAGAATTAGAAAAAAATCAATGGATTAAGGCTTTGGCTGGGTAGCTCAGTTTGTTAGATGTCATTTGTAACAGTTGATGAGCAACTAGTTGCATCTAAAGGACATTGCCCTGCCCAGCTGTTGTGGCTCAGTGCTATGAACCAGGAGGTCACAGTTTGATTCCCAGTCGGGGCACATACCTGGGTTGTAAGCTTGATCCCCTGTGTGGGACATGCAGGAGGGAGGCAGCCAATAAGTGATTCTCTCTCATCATTGATATTTCTCTCTTTCCCTCTTCCTTTCTGAAGTATATTTAAAAATATATTTAAAAAATATATTTAAAATATATTTAAAAAATAAAGGACATTGCCCATTTCAGATACATGTATACCTTAAAATTGAGGAATATAGTTAAAATTTAAGTGAAAATTTTCACAACCCATTTTCTTCTTCTGCATATTATTTATAAAGTGATTTAAATATAAAAGCATGAAAAGGTCCATTGGATCTGTATTGCAAATGATGATATCTAGTTTTCTTGAAATATGAGGGTTAATGAAGGCATGAGAAAAGAAGATTCTATTTGAACTTGAAATAATTCAAAAGAGAGAAGGAAGTATTATTCAAAACACATATTTCTTGATTCTTCAGTGTACACTGTTTAGGCAGTGGTATTGAAAGTGCTATTCATTGGCTTTTAATTTTAGAATTAACCTGTAAACAAAGCATGAAAAGTTAATTATGGTTATAGAACTAATTGCTAATGATATCAAGTTAGGTCATGGTAAAAAAGTAAGTATAGAAATTGGAAAGTAGAAACACAGGAGAGAACAGTGTTAGAATGAGAAATAGAAATTATATATCCTTATCTGTATTGGAGTCAAGAGATAACACTTGAAATGGAATAAATGCAGAGATTAGATTTTTATATTATAAGGGAAACTGAAGTGATTAATTTTTTTGTTATGATAAAATACACATACCCTAAATTTACTGTTTAAAAGTATACAATGCAGCTAAGGATATTCATAATGTTGTGCAACCATTGCCACTATCTATTGTCAGAGCTTTATCACCCCAAAAGAAAACTCTGTTCATTAAACAGTCATCCCCATTCTTGTCTCCCTTGCCCTTTGTAACCACTAAACTGCTTTATGTGTATATGATTTGCTAATTCTTGATATTTCATATAAATGGAAAGGTGTCCTTTTGTGTCTGGCTTCTTTCACTTAACATTATATTTTCAAGGTTAATTCATATTGAGCATGTATCAGTACTTCATACATTTTTATGGATGAATAATACTCCATTGTATAGATATACCACAATTTCCTATTCATCAGTTGATGGACATTTGAGTTGTTTCCACCCTTTGGCTGTTTTAAATAGTGCTGCTTTGAACAATCTTAGACAGGTTTCTTCTGAACACCTGTTATTGTTAATAATAATAATCTATAGATTATTTATAGATGAGGAAACTAAACTACAGACCTGGAGAAATAATAGCTCAGGGTCACACAGGTAAAAATTGGTGAAGCGAGGGGTACAAATCTAAGCAATCTGATGTCAGAACTTACATTCTTTAACCACTGCTTAACCTGACAACTAGTAGGTATCCAGTAAATGTTCACTTTTCCTTTTTTGTGAGGCCATTTTTGGGTATTGACTATTAATTTTGCATTTCTTTTAGCCACTCTTTTAAGTAACAGACGTCTGAAATTATTGCTGTGGTTACTATTTAACTTAAACTTTAATACTATATATACATTGGTTACAGTTTGGCTGTAGCAGCAATTCCTGAAGGTCTTCCCATTGTGGTCACAGTGACTCTAGCCCTGGGTGTGATGAGAATGGTGAAGAAAAGGGCCATTGTGAAAAAACTGCCTATAGTTGAAACTCTGAGTAAGTCTGTGGAAAGAGCCTATTTATACAATGATATGTTAGTTTACACTAACAGTGAGTTATCTTTGGGTTTTATAATTTTTTTCTTAGAGTTTGCATTGTGGTGTTTGGCTTGTGGCAATATGAGTATAGTTGTAGCAACCAAAATTTAATTAAAAATGCATATCCTTTAGTTCAGGTAACTGTTAGAGAAGTTTTTCTGCATCATGGAATGTTCCAATTCTTAAATCATGCTTTTAAAAAATCTATATAATAAATGAAACCTTGGAGAAAAATTCATAGAATTTTTTGACATCTCAAGAAACCTGATTGATATTTATAGATCCTAAAAGGTCATACTTAAGTAGAATTCACTGATAAGAACAGTAAATATACAAGTTACATTGCTATGATACAACTTTATATTTGATATGAAAACTGTGATAACTTTATATATGCTGTGAAGCTTTTTTTAATTTGCGAATTCAAGATTGTTGAATTTAAATTCTAGTTTGCATTTTATTATTGAAAAGGTAAAATACCTTCAAATACTGATTTAAAAAATTACATGGTTTTATATTTAGGCACCCTTAAAACTTTCTAGAAAATATATAGTAATAAAAGCATAATATGCTAATTAGACAGGACAACTTTCTGGACGAAGCTGGGACTGCAAGGGAAGCCTGGGTCCGGGTGCCTGTTGGCGGCGGGAGGGAAGCCTTAGTGCCAGATGCAGGTGCCAGATGCCAGGTTCCGGAGGGAAGCTGGTGCTGGCAACTGGGGGAAGGAAGGCATACTCTTGCCCGAATTTCATGCATTGGGCCTCAAGTGTATATAATAAAACTAGACCCCTCAGCCCAGCCTGCACCCTCTCTTACTCTGGGACCCCTTGGGGAATGTCCGACTATCTTAAGTTGGCAGACGGACATCCCCAAGGCCAGGCTCCCGGCTGGCGAGCACAGCAACGGTGGTGGGAACCTCTCCTACCTCCACAGCAGCACTAAGGAGCAGCGAGCAGGCGGGCAGTAAGGAGCGAGGGGTCCTGGTCTACTAGAGGAATGTCCTCCTGCCGGCTTACATTCCTTACTGGTTGACTTGCTGCTGCTTAGCGCTGCCAGGGAGGCGAGAGAGGCTCTTGCAAGCACTGCTGCACTCGCCAGCTGTGAGCCCAGCTTCTGGCTAAGCAGCGCTCCTCCTGTGGGAGAGCACTGATCACCAGGGAGCAGCTCCTGCACTGAGCGACCAACTGGTCATTCTGGTTGTTCCTCCGTAATGATTGCTTAGGCTTTTATTACATAGGTTATTATATAAAGCTAATATTGAATAGCATTGAAGAAATTCAACTGTAAGTAAATAAGAAAATTTCAACATTTATCAATATCTAATTTTTAATTTTAATTTCAGAAACTACCTTACAATGAAGCTAACGTCATGAGAGTCAACAATCTAAAATTATCAATGAGTTTGATTTGTAGAAAATTCAGAGAAGCAGGGCAGGCTCCCACAGTCTTTGATTTGCTGTCAATGTGAACTTGTATTTCTCCTTGACTTTTGGTGACTTGTAATGGTTTTTTCTTTAGGCTGCTGTAATGTCATTTGCTCAGATAAAACTGGAACACTGACAAAGAATGAAATGACTGTTACTCACATATTTACTTCAGACGGTCTGCATGCTGAGGTACTCTATAGATTATTTTAACAACAGTATTACTTTGTTAAGAAACTTGGTGTTTAACGTTGTTAACTGTTACAGAGTCTTACCTTCAAAATGGCTGTACTTTAGTCAACAGCAGAACTTTCTCCTTCCCATGTGATTCTATCAAGTTTTAATCTTACTCCACTTATACAGTACTATAGCTTTTAATCCAGTTTGACACCCCTCTTTTAATTACCTTTACATCCTTTCATTACAAACTCTTGATGTCTTTGCTTTATGTGAAGCTTGAGGGATTTTTTAGAACCAAATTTTGAGTATGTCACTCCATAAATTAAGATGCTTCAGTGGCTTTCCATTGTGACCAAGATCCTGAGTGTGGTCTTGCAAGGCCCTTCATGTTATGACCATTATTTCCTTCTTCAACCTTTTATGTTCCCCTTTGCTTTCTGTGCATCAGACACAATGGTCTTATGGTTCTTTCAGTGGGACAAAATTATTGCTACATCATTTTTTGCACCTTAGGTTCATCCCCACTTCTTCAGAAAAGCTGACCAATCAGAAATGGCCCTATGTTACATGTTTTTTAAAATAAAAGTTCATACCTTCTAATCCTTAATCCAGATAAAAATGTTAGTTACTGTTCCTATTGTACTGTAAGTTGTAATTGTGCAAGAACTCTGTCACCCAGCACAGGGCCTGACTCATAGCAGTAAATACTTGTTGACAGAATAATTAAATAGATAAATTACATTATCTTAGAAATATATTGGCAGTCTTTTAAGTGCACATCAGTATATGTGCATTTTGAGCTGGTTGAGGACAATTTGCAGTCTCACCTATTCTTGGCAGGATTTCTGTAGAATGGTCATTAACACTACTTATGAGGGCTACAGTATTTTAAATGCATTAACAACCAATTCATTGAGCAAAGTAAGCATTAGACAAATTGACATAATTTGTACTTAGGTTTATTTAATTCCATTTTATATAGGCTTAAAATGAAACTGTTGATATGTAGGGTTTTAAATTTTGCTATGTTATTAAATATACCTTTTCTAGATGACTCAGAGGGGTTATTGGGGTTACATGTGCTTATATGGTCCAGGTAGAGGATTTAATTTTCTCTTTCGTTTTATGCCCATAATTTTATATGTCTAGCATTAACCATGTATAATTTCTCTCTAAACTATCTTATTTTTATTGTGAAATTTAACTTTTGTTTGGCTTTGTTAGCCATACCATATAAGTATATGGCTTGTCTCAATCTCTGATTTTTAAAACTGTTGTGTAATATGCTGTTACAGTAGTTTGTAAGTGCTAGGATAAATCACTTAATGTCTTTGAGCCTGCATATTTGCAAAAAAAAAATTCTGCTTTTGTCTACATTATGTTTGTGATGAATGTTAGATTTGGAAATGGACTTGAATTCTTTGTACGTCGTAGTATGTTATTAATATAACTAGAGGTCTGGTGCATGAGATTTGTGCACTTGGGGGAGGAGGTCCCTCAGCCCGGCCTGCCCCCTCTCGAGGTCTGGGAGCCCTTGGGGGATGTCTGACTGCCAGCTTAGGCCCGCTCCCTGCAGTTGAACATCCTTAGTGCTGCCGTGGAGGCCAGAGAGGCTCCGACCACCGCCGCTGCACTCGTCAGCTGTGATCCTGGCTTCTGACTTAGTGGTGCTTCCCCTGTCGGAGCACACTGACCACTAGGGGAAAGCTCCTGTGTTGAATGTCTGCCCCTGGTGGTCAGTACGCATCATAGTGATCAGTCATTCTGCCATTCAGTCGATTTGCATATTAGCCTTTTATTATATAGGATGTTTTATAAATTTAAGCGCACTTATGTATAGCGATTTTCATGTTTTATGGTATACTATACATAGAAACAATAAGATATATTAATTATACTAATGATTATATTGTTTATTCTTATGATATATTATACATTATTGTAAGTATTATAACTATTAGTATTATTAACTAAAGGTTCATCCTTGTGGTAAAAATGTGAATGTATAGTCCTTTAACTATTAAAGTTCTTTTAGACTAATTTACATGCTTTTTTATGTATACATGCTGTGTTATGATTTATAAAATGAAATGAATATAACTCACCATAGATTTTGTTTTTCATATTCTCACTATCCACTGATCATATTATTGACCCTACTTTATGTTCCCTAGGTTACTGGCGTTGGCTACAATTCATTTGGAGAAGTGATTGTCGATGGTGATGTTGTTCATGGATTCTGTAACCCAGCTGTTAGCAGAATTGTTGAGGTAAACATTTATTCTCTAAGAAGGTGACTTTCTTTTTGTTGTTGTTGTTAATCCTCAATGTAGGATATTCTTTCACTTATTTTTTAGAGAAAGTGAAAAGAGTTGGGGGGCCGGAGGGAGAGAAACGTTGATGTGAGAAAGACACATAAATTGGTTGCCACCCAAGGCACCCCAACTAGGGGTGTGGGATCAAACCTTTAACCCAGGTATGTGCCCTTGATCAAGAATCCAACCCATGACCTGCTGGTGGGTGGGCTGACACTCTACCACTGAGCAACACCGGTCAGGGCAGAAGATGATTTTCTAAATAATGACTTAGGACACAATGATGGGTTCATAGTTTATGTTTATTTCTCTTAGGCGGGCTGTGTGTGCAATGATGCTGTAATTAGAAATGACACTCTAATGGGGAAGCCAACAGAAGGAGCCTTAATTGCTTTAGCAATGAAGGTATGTATCTAATCTCTCTTCTTTGACATAAAATACCACCCTTACAAGAGAATGTGAGGCCATCAATTTCATTATTACTGGTTTTAGGTACATTGTTTTTACTACCTTTTGATAACCAGTTTTAGTCTTTCTGGAAATTCAAAGCATAGAGCTTTCTTAGTATAATTTTATCCCTTATATTCAAGAAACTGTGATGGATTTCTTCTAATGTAGAAATGATTCTGTTGTCTATTTAGAGTGTTTTTGTGAAAAATTCTATGTGTGTTATTGCTGATAAATACTGACTTTCAAATGAGTTAAGCACAATACTTTAGTATTTCCATGTAAAAATACTAAGAATATCATGAGAAATTAGCTTTTTCCAGTTGACCCTTTCCCTTCATTATTTTAATACATTTCTATTTATTTATTTATTTATTTATTTATTTATTTATTTATTTATTTATTTATTTATTTATTTATTTTAGAGAGAGGAAGGCCAAAGGATAGAAAGATAGAAACATCAGTGAGAGAGAAACATCATCGATCAGCTGCCTCCTGCATGCCCCCTATTGGGGATCAAGCCCACAACCCGGTTATGTGCCTTCGTTGGGAATCGACCAGTGACCTCTTTGTTTCTGGGTTGACACTAAACCACTGAGCCATAGTGGTGAAGGCTGGACTCCTTCATTATTTCTTAAAATGAGTTTAGAATTAGAATTTGTGTTAGAAAGACGAGGTGCTGTTTTAGTGACCCTTTTATCGATTTTAGTTGACCTCTTCTCCTAAGCCCTACATATGATTAAATGAGAAATCTAAAAGTCTGATCTGTCACTCCCAAACAAAAACAAAATCTCTACTTTTAAGAGAAGTTAGAAACTTTGAAACTTTGAAATAGAATATGCCTCTAAATGAGGTTACTTCAATTGAGATCCAGTATTGAAATGTTGGCTTTTATAATAATTTTAGAAAATAAAATACTTTTAGAATATGTTTCCTTAACAAATGATAATATTTTGTTATCATTTTTTCTCCTTGTAACTAAAATAACATAGTATATAGCTTTATATAATAAAAGCCTAATATGCAAATTGTTCCCTCCACCAAGAATTTGATGGGGAGTTTGACTGGGGGTGGGGCCGGAGGTGGTGACAGACAGCCAGGGGAAGGAAGGTGCCCCAGCCAGCAGCCAGCAGTTTCTAGGGACCCTACCCATGCACGAATTTCATGCACTGGACCTCTAGTAGCTTTATAAAAGACATTCAAAAGTTGAATCTGTTAATAAGATTTACTATGGTATCCTTAACTTTATCTCTTTGAGAGAGAAAGAATATGAAACTAGTTCCTTATGGGGAGGGGACTCACATTGAAGGTAGGACATTAATACTGATGTGCTTGGAACAAATAAAAGGCAGACCAATATAGTAAGACAGTTAAGAACAGTGCTAATTCAGACTAGGGATCTGGGCTTTGAAGGTCCCTTAGGAAGGGTTCAGATAGTAAGATAGAAAAAGCAGAAATAAAAGCATAGAGTAATAAGTAAGCATAGAATGGATTTTTGGCTTGTGAATTGATTAACCTGGATGAAATGGAAGGAGTTTGAGTAACTCAGAGGATTGTTAAATAGACTATGTGGTCAGTTTCTGGGGGAATTTTGAAAGCCAGGAAGTTGTGTCTCAACATGTTTCAGTAGAAAAAAAAAAGTCAGCAGAAGCAATGAACTATACTTTTTGAGTAGTTTAAAAAATATTTTTTAATATTTTGAGGAAAATGCAAAGGGGTATTGGAGAGGGAAAAATTTATTATTTGTTAATACTACATTGGTAGTAGTCAGAATATCAGGTGGTAGGTGAAAGGTATAAGGGAGTAGAATGGGAGCAACAGGTAAGATAAGAGTTGAATCCCTAAGGAGTGAAGAATTGAATCTGAAATTTCTATTCATTATAAAAGTAAAAGCTCAGTATTGGTTGAGTACCTTTTATATCTCCTGATTCTGTCCAGAATTAAGTTAGTAGAGGTTTTAATATTGTCAATGTTGAAGACTTAGTTTGTGGACAGTCCAGGTATCTAAACACTCAGGCTTTCCTGTTGAATATGTATGCTGCTATCCAGAGAAGTATGGTATATATAGATAGATTACTGCTATTCTGTCACCATTATTTGAAAAATCATGTATGTCTAGCTAACCTGACTACAAGTTATGATCCTTGTTCATGTTAAAGAAGAAAATAGTCATATGCTGATGAGAATTAACTTTCTTTTTGTGCTGTATAGATGGGTCTTGATGGAGTTCAACAGGATTATATTAGAAAAGCTGAATATCCTTTTAGCTCTGAGCAAAAGTGGATGGCTGTTAAGTGTGTACACAGAACACAGCAGGTATCTTTCCATTTTCAGACTACTTATTATATTTTGTTAACATAGATGATTATTTTTATTTTTTGTCTACCTTTAGATTTAAATAGTCATTGAGCATAACAAAGTCCTGTTGTTTTAAAGTTTGTATAATTCATAGTGTATTCATCCCTTGCTATTTTCATGTTCTCTTTGACTTTGTGCCTAGATATATCCAATTTTGCTATGTGAGCAAATAACTTAAATGAATTGGAGCCTGTTGTCAGTTTCCTAGAGTTTGTGACATTAAATTCTTTCAACATATATTTTGTCCTGATGACAGACTACTAGAGATCTGCTATTCTTTCACTAAAGGAATGCCTTTTCTTCATAACAAACAAAACCACATTATTTTGTGATACTGGTGGATATATTATTCTAAGATAAGACAATAAACTAAAGAAAAGAAAGATATAGTACACAATCAGTTCTAACCAGGATGGGTGAAAAGAATCCCCAGGATAGAGGTGAAGGGAAGTTCCCGGATGCATCCGTCATGCAGCAGGTCTAGAAATCAGCCAACTCACATTAGAAAAGGAAAGGAGAATAAGACTCAAAGACGAAGGTCTTTCTTCAATAATAATATAGGACTAATAATTTTCCTGCTCATTTGATCATGTGAAAAATATCATTTAGCAGGGCTTTATATTACATGGAAGAGTTCCAAATTAATTATTAATAGGTGTAAAGACAACTAAGAAAATAAAAAAGGCAGTTATTAACTGTCTAGAAGATAAAACTTAAACAGGAAAATAAATGTTTTATTCATATAGGCCATGGAAACAGTATCATGCCTTCCTGCTGCCCCCCTACACTCTAATATCTGTTCACTACTCAGGTAATTAGTAGCTCTGTCTCAATGTGAGCACGTACTGTAATAATGTGCAGAGAAACAACAAATTATGCTCTGGTTTCTAAATTTCCATTTGAAAGTGACACAAGTACTTTTATATTTATTGATCAAAGCAAGTCATACCTGAGAACTTGGTCAGGGGAATATATTCCTACCAAATGCCTGCACAGAAAGCTGGATGTGTATGAACTGTTCTAGTGACTACCACTTCGCTCAAGAGTGGGGAGCCATAAAATAAATAGAATACTGACAAATTTTGCTTTAATTATAACTAGAGGTCTGGTGCACAAAATTCTTACAGGGGAGAGGGTGGTTTCTCAGCCCAGTCTGAACCTATCCAGTCTTGGATATCCCTCTCACAGTTCGGGACCGCTGGCTCCTAACTACTCACCTGCCTGATCACCCCTAACCATCCTTCCCTGCCAGCCTTGATTGCCCCTAAGTCCCCTCCCCTGCTGGCCTGATTGCCCCTAACTGCTTCTGTCTGGCCCCCACCACTGTAACTTTGTCTGGAAGGAGGACCAGAGACTGGAAGATGTCTGGTTGACTGGTTTAATTAGCATTTACCCTTTTATTTGTATAGATTATTAGTATAGATGATATGGGGAGGAGGAATAGATATGGGGGGTGGCGAAACTACCACTAATCACATGACAATTATAAACTTGATAAGCAAAAAATATAAATAATATAAACATTTTTAAAAACTTGGAGGTAAATACCAACATCTATAGAGATAAATAGGCTTGCCTTTTAGGGTAAGACTAGAGGTAAGAAAGTTTGGGCAGGGAACTGCAGTTTTTCATTGTAAGCTTTTGTATATTACTCTACTATGATAAAAAATAGAAGAAAAAGTCTGCTAATACCCTTAATTATAAGGTGGTTGTGAGAATACATATAATGTATACATATACTAACAACCAAGAGAAGTAAGTCTGAGTCATTGCTTGGGCAGATGTTAACTCTCTTTTCTATTCCTGTTAAGTTGTGAGCCTCTCCTCAAATCTGAGTGCTTAATCTGGGGCTTAGTATAGCACTGCTTTCAATGTATAAGGGTGAAGGTTGGGAGTAGATGCTGTATGTAGAGTGCAGGAAACGCCCACATATGAACTTTTAATTTTCAGAGTTCAAGTGCCACTTAAAGCCTTAGGCTTGAGTAGCTATCCTGGGGATTATGAGAAATGAATACTGCTTGCTTTTGGATTCCAATGGAAGATATGTACAAGTTGAAATTAATTTGAATTTATTTGCTCCGTTCTTATTCTTCTAGGATGGACCAGAGATTTGTTTTATGAAGGGTGCTTATGAACAGGTGATTAAGTATTGTACTACATACCTTAGCAAAGGACAGACTTTAACACTCACCCAGCAGCAGAGAGATCGGTCCCAACAAGAGAAGGCACGAATGGGCTCAGCAGGACTCAGAGGTAAGGATGCTTCAGTATTGGCCCCCAGGTGGAAAGATAATGCTTTCTGTTCATTGTAGATAAATTCTTGCTTCACACCTGAGCTGTACAGCTCTAGTTTAGGCTTCGTAGAACCATACCATTTCTGAAGTGTTATGTTTTACTTGCTTAATTGACCCCCAAATCATGGAAAAATGGGAATATAGCAAAATATGAACTCTTACAGACCTGCAGTGATGTATTAGTAGGTGATAAAAATTTTATTTTTATAATAGTTATTGATTTATTAGACAGGAGAATAGACGGGGAGAGAGAGAAAAACATCCGATGTGAGAAGAATCATCTATTGGCTGTCTCCTGCACACCTGTACCTTCAGGGGATTGAGCCTACAATCCGGATATGTGTCCTTGTTCAGGAATTGAACTGTTAACCTCCCAGTGCATAGGATGATGCCCAACCAACCGAACCATACGGGCCAGGGCAGAAATTTTATTTTAAACAAGTTTATCTTGTGAGGAAGGAGATGGATGGAGGTAAAGTGATGTTATTCCTTCTTTATTTCATTACTTTGACAGTCTTATTTGTTAATAGATCTAAAACACTTTCCTAAATATTGAAGCATTCCTCATCTGCTTTATTCCTTTGGCATTTACCAGTAAAGTATGAAAGTGCCCAGATTCTGCTTATGTTTGTGTTGCTGACTAAACATAATGGGGTGACAGGATCTGCTGTGTACACACACATCAGGCCACTTCTCTTAGGGATATCATATATGATTCAAGAAGCAGGGGTTGGACCCACACCTGGTTTTTACCTTTTGAATAGTCAACTGGCTTGTGGCTAATTATAATACATATATATCTATGTAGATGTCTCAAGGAAATTGGAAGAGTTGGCTTCCTTAATTTTATTATTTTTACAAAACGAAGTCAAAGACTTCAATTCCTGAAGAAAGAAACAAGTTATGTAAAAAAATCTTCAAACTCATGGTTCACTTAAGGGCTTTTTGTGGCTATCCAACATTTATATAGGTTTATAGGACTTTCTGATTTACAGGTTTAGAAAGGTATTCTTGTGGTTTTATTTGAGGGCACAGTTTTGTTATTCTTAGTAGCTTACACCAGAGGGTTTCAAAGTTAGCTGGGATTTAGAGACACAGAGGAAGTCTTAAAGATTTGGTATGTGCTTCCTGTTTTCCTTAATTTTTAGAACAGGGGTTTCACATTTTTAAAATTTTGAGTCTTATCATCTGCAGGAATGTGGAGGTTTTGTTGTATGTTTGCTGTTGTAATATTGTGAAATAGACCAGAGTTGGTAGAAGACAAAATCTTTGTTTCACAGAGCTTTAGAAATGCCCTGGTCATTTTTCTTTCATCTTGTCTTTTCCACTTCTGCTTGTGCTCCACCTTCCTCTTCCCCCTGAAATTACCGTAATGAATAACCGAAAGATTTTAAATTTAACTTTATATATACTTAGGTTATATCTTATAAAACAAGTTGTTTTTTAAAGTACAAATGATTCATAATTTTGAAATGTTTGTTTTTATATTTTATTTGGGGACCTTCTACATGTAAAAGGTCTACCTAGCCTGTCCCAAACAGTAGCAGTAGAGCTTCATTTGTTCTAAAGAAGCAAACAGGTAAATATAGGATACTAAGCTCTAGGTTAATATCACCCCTCCATTGAGGGTGCCAACAGCTGGTCTTTTCTGATGCAAACTGATGCTGTCCCCTTCTGTTACTATCTGCCTCTATTCCAACACTAGGGATTATCAAGGTGAAGTCATATGCACATGCCTGGGTTGTGGGCTCAATCCCCAGTGAGAGGTGTACAGGAGGCAACCAATCAATGATTCTCTCTCATCATTGATGTTTCTATCTCTCTCTCCCTCTCCCTTCCTCTCTGAAATCAATAAAAAAATATTTTTAAAAGATTATATAATAACTTCAATGACATTATAGTCTTAACGTGATTTCTTTGAGAAGTGTTACTGCTTCCAGCTTTTGTCAAGTAAATTCTTTTATTTTTGTGGCTCACATTTTCTTGTTTGGATTTTATTATTTTGTCCTAAGTTCTTGCTTTAGCTTCTGGTCCTGAACTGGGACAACTGACATTTCTTGGCCTGGTGGGAATCATTGATCCTCCTAGAACTGGTGTGAAAGAAGCTGTTACAACACTCATCGCCTCAGGAGTATCGATAAAAATGATTACTGGAGACTCACAGGAGACTGCAGTTGCAATCGGTATAACGAGAGTGCTTTTTTTGTTTTTGATAGTTTTTTTTTTAAATTATTACAGTACATAGTTTTGTGAGTCATTAGACATGAAATATGTTTACATGTTTGCTCATACTCTATATAAAATTGTGGCCAACTTATTTTAGTTTTAAAAAAATACTTATCCACTATGCTGATGGATAAAAGCATAAATGTGAAAGGAAACATGAAATTTTAGTTTTTCTTTTTAACTTGAGTATTTTCAAAGCAGACCTGTACCTACTTTGAAAGAAAGTTGCTATGTTTCTGTTTCTGTTGTTTTATCATATATATGGCTCTGTTGTTTGAATGCCTTTTACGATTACTTTAAGAAGTAAAAGAGGGGGGTGAGGGGAAATGGACATGGAAGTTAATCTCCCAGAACTAGTAAATTACAGTTCATACTATTAATTTAAGCAGTTTGCTAAAGTCCATTAATTCTGATTTTATTAATATGGAGAGAGATTGGGACAGAAGTTTCACACTTTGTGTCTAAGAAGGATGTCATCAGAAACGTAACATGGTGGGAAAGATTATACTTAGAAAAATTTGCAATTTTTATTTTTATTTACATGCAACTACATGATTATCGCAGATCCACCACCATTTTATTTGACTTTGGATACTTAAAATGCACTCTGACCTTTATTAAAATTGAGATGCTGAGCAAAACTTCATTGGACGTGTTTACTTAGGTTTGATAGATTAGATTATGAAAACTACTCTCAAATTTAAACAAAAATAAAAGAGTCAAACAGAAAACCTCATTTTAAAATTCATATAGGTTTGGCTTACCAGTAGTTGTCTTATGATCCCTTGTTATAGAGGCATTTTATACTTAAAAGGCATGTTATACTTAATAACAATTATTAACTGAGCATTATGTTTATCCTGTCAAACAAAACCAATGTGTTTAATTACGTTTTCTCTCCATTTTACTTTAGCTAGTCGTCTGGGATTGTGTTCCAAAACTTCTCAGTCAGTCTCAGGAGAAGAAATAGATGCAATGGATGTCCAGCAGCTTTCACAAGTACTACCAAAGGTACTGAAGCCTTTTCAGACAAAAGGCCTTATTCTAAGTGTTACCATTTCTACTACTATGAAAACCAAACTTTATTTCCGAACAGTTGGGACATGACCAACAAATTTGTTGGTCCAGATCATGAAATGAAATCTTACAATTGAAATCAGTCCTATCATTGAGAGTATTTGTGATGTGATCATTATAACTATTATTAGTGGCCCAGTGCACAGATTTGTGCACATTGAAAGGAAATTAATTAGAAGAATTGCACTCTGAAAAGATTTTAGTTTCTTTTCCACAAACTGCATTTCATACAATAGTATTAAATCCCTAGCCCTCCAACTTCACTTGTTAGATTTTGGATGTGGTCACTACTAGAAATGCACTAATTTGCTCATCCATATTTTCTTTTTCTTTTTTTCAGTCTGTAGCCACTCAGAATGCTGTTTTCAGAGCATATGGGAACAAGTGTTTTAGGTTCAGTAGGGTGGAGAAGGTGTTTCCATCTTTGAACAAGAATTTTTTTGTGTTCTATACTGATGGTTTCTTTTTGACATTTGTTTCTGAAAGAATAAATTTTCTATTAGGTTCCTCAGAAGTATTGGGACAATAGTGCACATTAGAAAATATGTGTCAAATATGCAGTTAATTAAATATACTTCCCATTTGACCTTTACTCAACTCTTTCTTCCATTTTTTCCCCCTGAAATGCTAACAGGTAGTGAAACTTGAGAGGTAAAATTTTATTGGCTTTCTTCAGTTCACTCTCTGGCTCTGATAACCAATCTAAACGTAGTTAGAGAAGGAAGAAGCATATTACAATTTATATCATCAGCCTGAAGAAATTACATCATTGGTCTTTTCCAATAGAGTTTTGTGCATTAATTAATTATGGCAGATACCCTGTTGCTGTTCCAAAGAAATTTAACAACAAAAAACATGAGCCTTTTGAGAAACTCTTTCTTTGAATTGCTTAAAGTCATCCTACTTCAAAGAAGAATTTCATAGATATCAAGGCTTCCTTATAGGTATTTCATGTCTTTTGAGACCTTTCTCCAAATACTATTAATGAACTTTTTTAATCCTTTGAGTTTAGCTGGGCTCCATGTCCCCATCCATTAACCCAATACCTTTTTTTTTTCTACTTGTGTTATGTAATGCAGTTACAGCCAACGTTTGTTCAAGGTCTTATGCTTTATTTCAGATTAGTTTGATTAGCCTTTCTTTCATTAGTGTTAAAACAAAATTTTTCTTGTAAATTGGCAGTTCACTGAGATTTTCCCACATGTACTAAATCATATTAATTCTCTTCCTCATTAAAATGCCTTTCAGTTTTCTCTTTGCATAATTTAATCACATTTCAAATCTCTTAGTAATGTGCTGTTCTGTTAACATAGAGTCAATTAAAAAGTAGTGTGGAGCCCTAGTCGGGTTGCTCAGTGGATAGAGCCTCGGCCTGAGGTCTAAAGGGTTCTGGGTTCCATTTCAGTCAAGGGCATCTAGCTTGGTTGCACACTTGATTCTCAGCCCTGGTTGGGTGTGTATGGGAGGCAAACAATCGCTGTGTCTCTCTCACATCAGTGTTTCTCTCTCTGTCTCTCCCTCTCCTTTCCACTTTAAAAATAAATGGAAAGATATCCTCCAATGAGGATTAACAAACAAAAAGGTAGTGTAGAAACTGAATTTTGTTAATTATTTATAAAATCCATCTGGGAGCTCTCATTGCTTTTTGTTTATGATTTCTTCCAGTATTTTCTACAGTTCCTAGTGATAAAAGTGGATATCCCCTTTCTCTCTCTCCCTCTCCCTCCTCCATCTCTTTCTCCCTCTCTCTCTCTCTCTCTCTCTCTCTCTCTCTCTCTCTCTCTCTCTCTCTCTCTTTCTCTTTATAGCAGTACCTGCCTTCGTATTTCTTTCTTTTTTTAAAAAAATATATTTTATTGTTTTTTTTTACAGAGAGGAAGGGAGAGGGATAGAGAGCTAGAAACATCAATGAGAATGAAACATCGACCAGCTGCCTCCTGCACACCCCCCACTGGGGATGTGCCTGCATCCAATGTATTATATATGCCCTTGACCAGAATCTAACCTGGGACCTTTCAGTCCACAGACCAACGCTCTATCCATTGAGCCAAATCGGCTTTGGCTGCCTTCGTATTTCTTTCTTTCTTTCTTTTTTCTATCAAGTCTATTAACCAAATCCCTGTAATGTAATTTGTGTGCTTTTTAATTTTTAGTCGGTTGTAAATACTTATTTTAGTTACTTGTGATGTTTCTTTTTCAATGCAACAGTTACCTTTTTTTTTTTTTTTTTTAAAGTCTTGGAAGATTTGGAGACCTTTGGCAGGTTATTTTAAATTAACCTTTTTAAATATTTTTTACTTTCTGCTTTTCATAATTTTCTTTCTCTAGTACCCCTTGTCTGTTAATGTTGATCAAAAGAACAGTTGAGTACTGACCAGAAATAAGACACCTAAAATAAGGACCCACGAAAAGAGAAAATTCCTCCTGCAAGTTGCTTCGGATAATGCATAGCCTTTTTCCCTTCCCTTTAAAGATTTTTATCTTTTCCTCCCCCATTATTCCCTGAACATTCTCCTTTTCTTATAAAGTTCTATTTCTTTCCCACTGTCCTTTTACCATATACTGTTGTCTTTATCCTGTCGTCTTCTGTCCACTTCCCAAACTACAGTGATTTTATTGGGTGTTTGCCTTCAATCAGTATATTCCCTTTTTCTAGGTAGAGAAACAGACATAAATATGAAAACATTGTTAATAGATGAAATTCACTTACCCTCAAGTCTAATCTTATTTCTTTGATATTGTGATAATAGTTTAATTTTTACTAATTTATAAATTTTTTTTTAATTTCTTATTTCTTTAGGCCATAATTTTATGTTCATTAAATTTCAATATTTTTACTCAACTAAAAAGATTAACCTGCTCATCCTGGTGCTTTAAGAACAAATTTTACTCTGTGTTATGTGCCACATGCAAACCACCAAGGGAGTCTTCAGCTTTGCATTAGTAAAAGCAGTGAAAGAAAGGATGTTGCCTGGAGACAGGATACTGGATGGTGGGAATTTGGGAAATTCTCATCTGATTTTTTCTTTGAAGTAAGAAACAAGGTTTTCAGCTGAAAGTGAGGTTGGAGAAAAGGATCAGTTGGAAGTATGAGAAGAGGAAACTAGTATGAGTAAATTCTCTAGGATAGAAGGAAAGAGACTGGTATGGTATATGGATATTAAAATCACCAAGATTGGGTTTTGTTGGAGACAGTAGGGCAGAAGTTAAAGTCTTTTTGAAACCAGGAGTGACCTCTCTGGAGCTGTGAATGCTTATTGTTAGAGGGAAGTATAGTCTCATGTGACCTTCAAAACAGGCTTTATGAATAAAGAAGGGAGAATGGAGGACGCCTACCCCTCTCCAGGATCTCCTGGTTTTACTGTTTGAGAGGACTATACAGATGGCCCATATTTTATCGAAAAATTAGGTTAGAGCAATGTGGGAAAGAAAAGGATATAGGGGGGTTTTGTCAATGACTGATGACTAAGGGGCATGGTGAAAGGGTTTCAGAAGACAGGAGATGGGGTCAAAAAAAGGGATTAAATATATGGTTTGGAGAGATAAGATCATGTAAGTATTTAGAGATATAGTGGAAGAAAGCCTCATGAATTAGCCCGAATAAAAGAGAATGAGTATCACTTGGCACCTTAAGAAAGGGGGTGGAGGGCTTTATAGTCATGAAGAAGTAGCTATTCTTTTTCTGTCCTGAAGACAGAACAAGGGAAGAGGCCATTCCACTGGTATGCTGGTGTTAGGAGGAAAGATGGAAGAGAGTTTTCCCTTTATTTCTGAGACATTTCAAGAGTAAGGTTGTTATCTCTCCAGAGATTATGTATTTTTAGTGGTATCTTTGGTAAATTTTGAAATGAGTATGTCAAGTGAGTGTCATAACAAACATCTGTCATATTATGTTTGATTTCTGTGGCAAATTAAATACAGTTTAAATTGATTTTTTAAAATCATTGTTAATTAGAAGCATATGAGTTATTCATCTTAACATTGAAGAATTTTATTGTTTTTTATAATTCCACAGGTTGCAGTATTTTACAGAGCTAGTGCAAGGCACAAGATGAAAATTATTAAGGTGGGTCTCTAAGAATCCTGTTGTTTTATATCCAAAATGCTACTTCTTGTCTTAAATTATTTTTGCCTTATTAGGAGTATTTGATAGAACATTAAAGTCAGAAGTACTAAGAAGCAAAAAAGGTGATTTTTTTTTAAGATCCTGAAATGGAATTTACTTAGCAAAGGAAGATATATAAGAAAACCTGAATGAGATATCTGCAAACTAATTTTAAGCAATTGAACACTGTAGAAATCTGTTCTGATAGAAATCCATAGTCAAATCATCCTAGTGTGAATAACAATAATTACTTAGAAACTGAATAAATACATTAGGAAAAATATGTTAGCCCTGGCTGATAGCTCAGTTGATTAGATCATCCCAATATGCCAAGGTTTTGGGATGTTCTCTCTCTCTCTCTCTCTCTCTCTCTCTCTCTCTCTCTTTCTCTCTTTCTCTCTCTTTCTGTTTTTCTCTCTCAAACCAATCAATAAATTTTAAAAAGGAAAATATTGTGAGTATAGTATTTAAAAGATAATAGTTATATATATATTAATTAGATGAATATATACAAAGTAATTGACATAGTAGCCATTAGTTAATGAACTTAAATTATTTATTTATTTACTAGAGGCTATGTGCATAAGCTTACATTCTCTCACATAGGATGTCCTCATGGGGGAGGCTCCAACCACTGCTGCTGTGCTTGCCAGTCATGAGCCGGCTTCCCTACCTCCCCACCTTCTCCTTTCCTTGCCACCCATGTGCTGCCACCATGCAGTTTCCTGCCTCCCCCCTCCTCCTCTCACCACCCTCATCTCTGGTTCCTGTCCCAGCTCAGGGGTGATCGGGTGATAGGGGCCTGATGCCCAGGGTAAGAGACTGGGAGGTTGGCCAGCAGGTCCTGATCAGGTGATGGGGGCCTGCTTGCTGGTGGGAAGGGATGTGGGAGATTGGCTGGCTGGCCCTGCTCCTAATCAGGATGGGGGGTTAATTGGGGACAGGCCATCCAGGGGGAGGGGCTGCAGGAGGTTGGAGGAGGCCAATCAGGGCCCCATATGGGCCTGTTGGCTGCCACAGTGCACATCATAGTGATTGGTTGTTCCAATTGCTTGGTTTTTATATATATAGATTTTAAATATGTTTTTATTGATTTTAGAGATGAAGGGAGAGGGAGAGATACAAACACCAATGATGAGAGGGAATCATTGATTGGCTGCCTCCTGCACAACCTTTACTAGGGATCCAGCCCGTAACCCTAGCATGTGCCCTTGACCAGAATCAAACCTGGACCTTTCAGTCTGGAGTCTGATGCTCTATCCACTGAGCCAAACCGTCTAGGGCATGGACTTAAATTATTAATCACTGTAGCCTTCTATTGTATTAGTTCAGGGTTTCTTAGTCATAGCACTGTTGATGTTTGGACTGTATGATTCTTTTTTGTGAGGTGTGTCCTGTGTATTGTAGGATGTTTAGCAGCATCACTGACCCCTACCCTCAAGGTGCCAGTAGCTCCTCCAAATCATGACAGTACAAAATGTCTGCAGACATTGCCAGATGTTCCCTGGAAGGAAAAATTGTCCTTAAGAACCACTGTATAATTGGCTGTAGATCAGACTTTAGACATACAGTTCTTATACAGTGGAAATAGTAATAGAAAAAAATTTTTTTAAACAGGAGTGTGTGAGGCACTCTGCTCTCTATTCTCATAAGCCTTTTTTGTTGTAAATCCTCACCCAAAGATTTTTTTCCCATTGATTTTCAGAGAGAATGGAACAGGGGTTGGGCAGAGAACATGGATGGGAGAGAGACTCGTTGCCTCCCACATGTGCCCAAACAGGCCAGGATCAAACCTGCAACCCAGGTACTTGACCTTGACCAGTAATCAACTTATAACCCCTTGGTGCACCAGCTGATGCTCCAACCATTGAGCCACATCTGCCAGGGCCTAATAGATACTTTTCAAAGTTTTATCTTAAGACCTAAATATATTGAAGTTCATTGAAAAATTGATAATATGTATTATTTCCAGTCTTAATCATGTGAAAAAATAGAGAGGATTTGTTTATCACTTTATCTCTGTAGAAGCAACATTTTGATCAGAATTCCTCCCTCCCCCCTTCCCCACTGTAGTCTCTACAGAAGAATGGGTCAGTTGTAGCCATGACAGGAGATGGAGTAAATGATGCAGTTGCTCTGAAGGCTGCAGACATTGGGATCGCAATGGGTCAGACTGGCACAGATGTATGCAAAGAAGCAGCCGACATGATCCTGGTGGATGATGACTTTCAAACCATAATGTAAGTTTCATTTCTGTATCTTCTGATTTGCATCAGAGAGACTCTTCTCCCATCCTTTACTGCACTTCACTCCCAGACAATTCAGGTGGCAAAGAATTAGCAATACTTATACATTGGAGGAATTAAACTATGTTAGTAGGTAAGTTAATCTTATTTTATGGTGTAGTGTGTCATTTTGGAGATAATTATTTTGAATGGAATGGAAAGGACAGAATAAATGGCAGGGCTATTTATTTAAGAAATACTTACTAAGTGTCACATTTTTCTGGCTGTAAGTGTAGTGGCACAGCAGTGAACCTTTATGGGGCTTTTATTTTAGTTAAATTCAGGCTATCAGAAATATGCGTGTGCATGGCTGTATAATGAATATTAAAAAGAATCAAGTTTTTATCCATACCTATTTTTTATCAGTAATTATTCATGTCAGTGATACAATTTATTAAGTTAGAGTAACTTTGTTGTTTAAGCCACAGTTTCTAATAGATTTAAGATTCTTATGTAATACCTGGTGACTTCAGTTTCATGGTTCAGATTTGAGTCACCTGAATCTTGTTTGTTGATAATCACCTCTCTGCCAACCTGAGTCTTACTCATTTCAGTGATATATGCTACTTTTATGCCCCTGATGCTTTATTAACCTACTAGAGACCAAGTGCACAAAATTCGTGCACGAGTAGGGTCCCTATGTCTGGCAAGCAATCAGAGCTGATCTGTGGGGTGACTGGCGGAGTGATGGGAGGTCCGGGGGAGCCTGCTGGAACCTGCCTTGGCCGGTCTGGCGCTGCCTGCTCGCCAGCCCCACCTCCCTGTCACCGCCGCCGTTGGCGACCGGTGGGGTGATCAGGGGGACCTGCCTTCACCTGCCTTGGCTGGCCTGGGGCTTGAGGGCTGGGGGCAGCTCCTGAGTTGAGTATCTGCCCCTGGTGTTCAGTGCACACCATAGCAACCTGTCGTTCCACCAATCATTCAGCCATTCGGTCAATTTGCATATTAAGCTTTTATTATATAGGATTGTGGCATAAAATGAAGCATGTGGGAGCTCAGGACTTAGAATCGCCAAGCTTTTATGAGGACATAAGAATTTTTCTTTCCACCTTAGAATTGTATAACAATTTTGGAGGAAAGAAGAAATTGTTTACAAGTCACATATTTTTCTACATTCAAACAAATGAATTAGATAATTTACATGAATCTTTTTATACTATATTCTTTATATAATTATTCTCCTACATATATCTACATAGGAGCAAAAGATAGCTTAAATTCTGTAATCTTATGTAACTCCTTGCTGTTTATTTGCTGACAAAATTAATTTAATCTCTTACCTTTTATGCATCTTGAACTTTTAAGAAAAATAAATGAGGGTAAAGAAGATTATTATTTTATCATAAGTGTAGTATTGTCTTGTGTAGAAAGACAATATGGAATTTTAACATTGCAATATATATTTTTAAGAATAGGAATTTAATATTGTAAAGTGAAACCAGTTTAGGTAGAGCTTATTAGAAGGCTTTATTGTTAGATGAATGTTTCCACATTTTTCTAATCTTAATTATGTAGAGAAAATAATAAATTCTTTTAGCAATGTATATGTTACATCAATTGGAAAATTGTTTTCAAATTAGTGATTTTACTATAGATATTTTTGTTTTGTGTGATAATAGTTTGTTACTTAATTTTTTTTTTTTTTTTAATTTCAGGTCTGCAATTGAAGAGGGTAAAGGGATTTATAATAACATTAAAAATTTTGTTAGATTCCAACTGAGCACGTAAGTTTGTAAGATGTTTGTCACCATGAGTCTTATAGATAAACTAGGGGCCCAGTTTGAATTTGTGCACTTTGAAAGGAACTGTGGGCCTCAAGGATGCAGTGCATAAAGGAGTGGTTCTTAGCCCATCCTCCACACCCCTGTCTGCCAGCAGCCCTAATCCTGCCACTACTTCTCTCATGCACTGATGGTGCTGGCCCTGCTCGTACCCGCTGATGGCGCGGAAAGATTGGGGCTGGTGTCAGCAGTGGGTGCAAGTAGTGGCTGCTACCCTGATTGCCCCTCAGGAGCAGGAGGAGGTGGAGAAGCCCTCAGGGGTGATCAGGGCTGGCAGCCACCGCTTGCACCTGCTGACGGTACCAAGTGATCGGGTCAGTGCTGCTATGGGTGTGAGCGCAGTTTTGGCGCTGACAGCAGGTGTGAGAAGCAGCTGCTGGCCCTGAACAGCCTCCAGAATTGGGGAAGGTGGAGAAGCCCTGAGGGCCAGATGGGGCTGGTAGCTACCACTTGAACCAGCATCAAGCAATCGGGGCTTGCGCCAGGTGCTGGCAGTGGGTGTGAGCAGCTCAGGCACCAACAGCAGGTGAGAGTGGGGCCAGTACCTGCAGCAGGGCAGGACCCTGGCACATGGGAACAAAGAATTTTCAGTAACCACCAGAGGCTCCCCCGATGACAATAACCAGCACCCCACCTTGATCTGATGCCCTCACTCACCTGCTCCACCAACCTGCCATGGCTGACACCCGCCATGTTGTGCGTGTGTGCCCCTGGTGGTCAGCGCATGACTGGTTATTCGGTTGTTCCACCAATTTGTCTATTTGCATATTAAGGTTTTATAAAAATATGTGTATATATATATATATATATATATATATATATATATATATTATGAAAAGTATGATTTAAGCAGAATGCCTAGAGGCTTTCTGGGCTATCTTCCTGAGGATTGTTTAATTAAAAATTTAAAAATGGCATGTCTAATAGGTTCTTTTTTAAAAATATATTTTTTATTGATTTTAGAGAGGAAGGGAGAGAGAAAGAGAGGTCAACAATGAGAGAGAATCATTGATAGGCTACCTCCTGAATGCCCCACTGGGCATTAAGATCACAGACCCTTGACCAGAATTGAATATGGGACGCTTTAGTCCTCACGCTGATGCTCTATCTCTGAGCCAAACCATCTAGGGCTCTAATAGGTTCTTAATATGATATTTAGGTGTCTATGTCACCATCAAAGTATAGAAACTTTTGTGGTTTAATTAATAGCTTCTGAAATAACTAAGGTATATAAAATCTTAGTGTTTCCTCTTGTTACCATTTTCCAAAAAGTAAAGGGCTTTTCTGTAGTCAAAAAAGTTATTAAAATTGCCAAAACCGGTTTGGCTCAATGGATAGAGCATCAGCTTGGAGACTGAAGGGTCCCAGGTTTGATTCCCGTCATAGGGCATGTACCTTGGTTGCGGGCATATCCCCAGTACGGGATGTGCAAGAGGCAGCTGATCGATGACTCTCTCATCGATGTTTCTAACTATCTCTCTCTTTTCCTTTCTGGACAAAGTCAATAAAATATATATTTTTAAAAAAGTTATTAAAATAGTGTTGAAACTTAACTGTTTTGTAGCAACAGCTATTCTGAACTCAGCTTTAAAAATCTTCCTCTGTTGTTGTTACATAAATATTTAAAAATATATATATTTTATTGTTTTTTTACAGAAAGGAAGGGAGAGAGAGAGAGAGTTAGAAACATCAATCAACTGCCTCCTGCACCCCGCCCCCCAACACCCCCCCCCCACCCCCCACACAAACTGAGAATGTGCCCGCAACCAAGGTATACGTCCTTGAGTGGAATCGAACCCGGGACCTTTCAGTCTGCAGGCTGATGCTCTATCCACTGAGCCAAACAGGTTTCGGCTACATAAATATTTTGAAAATCCTTTATTAAAATACTGTGGATTGTAAAAGTTAACAAAATGTTCTTGAAAATATAGGCATCCTTTAAAAGCACAGTAATAACATGAGATTTTTAAATGCTAAAAAAAAAAGTGGTTATTTTAATATTAGTAAGAATTATCTGTGCTGACAGATTTTTTTAAATGACTCTTTTTTTCAACAGGAGTATAGCAGCATTAACTTTAATCTCATTGGCTACATTAATGAACTTTCCTAATCCTCTCAATGCCATGCAGATTTTGTGGATCAATATTATCATGGATGGACCTCCAGCTCAGAGGTAAGTGTTTTTCATGCATAAACTAGAAAGATAAGGAAGATTTGATATCCTCATTATTAAGTTTTAAGATATATTTTATTGATTTTTTTACAGAGAGGAAGAGAGAGGGATAGAGAGCCAGAAATATCGATGAGAGAGAATCATTGATCAGCTGCCTCCTGCACACCCCCCACTGAGGATGTGCCCGCAACCAAGGCACATGACCGGAATGGAACCCGAGACCCCTCAGTCCACAGGCCGATGCTCCGCCACTGAGCCAAACCGGTCTCGGCGATATCCTCATTATTAAGTTTTAAAGGCTTCATTCATGATAGCATTAGAAATCTTTGCAGCAACATGTTTGTTATAAATTGTATGATGTGTGCATGGAATTTATTTTCTTTGGGTGCTCACTCATCCATTATGGATCTGAGCCTATACACTGTGTTAGATGCCCAGTCTTACACTGAAAACAGATCAGGGCAATCCCTGTCCTTAGGAAGTAAGCTTTTTGTTTCTAAGAATGGGATGAGTGGAGAAATCTCTGAGTTTAGTGTTACTAGCTAGGCTTTGTTGCCAATTTTAGAGACTTTGGGAAAGTATCAAAGAACCTAAGCATTTAAGTATTTTGTTTTATAATAATGGGGCCATAGATGTCACTTCTCAATACAAAAAGTAGAGGAAACCTCAATGCATGAAGGGTATTTCAAAGTCCAGTTGGTCGGTCATGTATTTGAGCCATATTGAAATAAGTAAACTTATATGTAAATGAAATTGGACAATTTTTTTTTTTAAAGTTTGACTACCAATCTCCTATTAAACCGTGCCAAATAAATAAGAGTAAGAGAGGAGAGAGTATAAAATGTGTGGTTATTTTTAAGTAAATACAGCCAAGGTTTACTTTGTGGTTCAATACTTTGTTTTTTAAAGAAAGCATGTAGTTTCCTAGATAATTGAAGTTAATCAGCATTGAAAGTAACAAATTCAAACCTTAAAACTTTAAAGTAATTCATTTTTCTGTTTGTTTTGAAGCCTTGGAGTAGAACCAGTGGATAAAGATGTCATTCGTAAACCTCCGCGTAACTGGAAGGACAGCATTTTGACCAAAAACCTGATACTTAAAATACTTGTTTCATCAATAATCATTGTTTGTGGGACGTTATTTGTCTTCTGGCGGGAGGTATATTTACTGGATAAACTGCTTTATTAAAGTATTCTGTATGATAGAATTTACTTATTTTTGTGTGCTACATGGAAGGCTGAAAAGTTAGGAGAGCTCTTTGAAAAATTTGATAAAAACATTTAAACGTAGTACAGTTTTGGTAATATTATTATATTTAAAGTCTTAAAAAAACAAGAAAAGATTTAAACATAGTTTGATTTCAGACTTTATGGGTTATTGGAATTTCTGATTTATTTATTAAAGTAATTAAATCTTTAGAGGACTATCAGATACAAAAATTTTATATATGAAAATTTGGGGAGACCTTAGACGAGTCTTTAACATAGCTAATTTGTTATTGAAAAAAAAAGTTGTTTTAATATCTATTATATGGGTTGTGAGAAGGCTTTTTTATTTTATGGTGATTACAGCTATTCATTAGTTGACTTTATTTATCTTTGATTTTTATCCCAGGATACTAGTATGTGTTTGATTTTTTTTTTTAAATTGATTTTTGAGAGGTGGAGAGAGAGAGAGAGACCCCACCACATCGATGTGAGAGAGAAACATGGATTAGTTGCCTCTGGTATTTAATCCTGTCAGTTGTCCTGACAGGATTAAACCTTTGGTGGAGGGAACGAACTCTCCAACTGAGCCACCTGGAATTTAAGTGGCATATAGGAATTTGTGTAGCTTACATGTTTTTATATCATAAGACGAAAGCTATTTTATCTGGATGGAAAGAAAATATTAGCTTTTAAAACACATGCAGTATTTGTCCATTAAATTCAGCCATTAAAAATCACTTTTTTCTCTTGGCAGCTACGAGACAATGTGATAACGCCTCGAGACACAACAATGACCTTCACATGCTTTGTGTTTTTTGACATGTTCAATGCACTGAGTTCTAGATCCCAGGTATGCTGACTGATTCAATTAGATAGAGCACTTTCTAATTGTAGACAGGCAAGGAATATGGGTTTTTAGTTTTTCTTGATTTTGTAGCCACAGCTTATAGCCTCAGATACAGCCTTCCTCCAAACATGTATCATAACGGGGATGGGGCATTTGGGAAGATAAGCCTTACCTTTGATCAGAAGATCACAGTAAATCACTGGTGGTGATATGTGATCTTTTTTTCCATTCTCTTATTATCTGTAGCTATATGATAAGTTCAGGTTAACATCTGAGCATATGACAAACCTCATGAATTCTGTTAAGATGGTATTAGTCTCCATTACTTCTTTCAGTGTCTCAAAACTTAGGACATTTAAAAAAAATGTTGTTGTTGAAAGTATAGATATATCCCATTGCTTAGGACATTTTAAATTTACTTTTCTTCCCATGTTGTATCTTAAGATGTGACTGATTGCCTTTTTTAAATTGAAGTGCTTTTTTAGGAAATAATGAGCTACCTAGTGGTAGTTTTTCAGAGCATATATATTTTTTAAACTATAGTTCCATTTGAGGCCTGACTGTTCGTTTAATTTTTAGAGCACTTTATGAATCCTTAACTATATCTGTTATCGTTTGCTATGCTAGAACTTTCCAAGTGAATTATCATTAGAGTAATTTTGAAGATGCTATATTATTCATTTTTTATTTTATGAAAGTCAGCTTTACTTTTTCAATACACATATAAACTAGGTCCATTCTTCAAGAAAGGTTTTTAGATTAATCTACCTTAATGAATGGATATAAATGACTTAGAATAATCATATACAATAAATTCTTTTGAATTTTGGAATGATAAAATAGTTTCTATCGATTTTTATTTTAAAAAAATGTATAACAGCATTCTCTTAAAGAAAGCCCTTTCTTGATAAAGAAAAGTTACTTTAAAATGTACCTTTATTCATCTGAATTATTCCAAAGTAATAGTTAAAATTAAGAGATTTCATGGTACTGCCATTGTAGCATTAAATCCAACTTACTAAAAAATTAGAAGGGAATGTAATAATAGTTTTTTCTGTGACCAAGGTGTAATAATTAAACTTTGCTTTGCCAACAGACCAAGTCTGTGTTTGAGATTGGACTCTGCAGTAATAAAATGTTTTGCTACGCAGTTCTTGGATCCATCATGGGACAGTTATTAGTTATTTACTTTCCTCCACTTCAGAAAGTTTTTCAAACCGAGAGCCTAAGTATACTGGGTAAAGCAGATGTTCTTTATAATTTATGTATTTTAGATGAATTGTATTTTTAAATGCATTTGTTCTAATAAAAATTTTCTCTTAAAAAGTGAAATAAGTAAATTAATGACTTGATTTGAAAAAGTATACTTTTTTTTAATTGGAAATATTTTAGGCTTTAAAATATTTTGTAATTTTTTTTCTTTCAATTTTTCATAAGTTATCATCAAAGTCATATTTGGGTTTTCTGAAATGTAGCATATCAAAACTTGTTAAAAAGTAATTGTTTATAACTTTTCAACCTTATGTGAAGAAGAGATTATATTTAAACTCGCTGAAAACCAAATTGCTTTTCTAGAAAATTACGATTTCAATAGTTAAAAGAATATTTCACTATTCTTACTTGCTAATTTGTAAGTCTTATTTTATCAAATAACAGTCTGACCCTAAAAGCAGAAAATTGTATTAAGATTATATGGAAGATAGATATTATCCTTTCACCCTTTCACGTAATGTACATTAAATGTTATGTATAATACATTTAAAAATTTATCTTCCTATGTAAGTGTGAGGACTGATGTATTTATGGCAATGCTACTTTCAATTCTTGGATTTTTAAGCTAATTTGGATATTTATGAAAATGAGTTATACATTTTTATTATAAGTTTAAATTTACCTTAAAAATGAACTAGTTTACTAATGTCAATATTTTAACTTTTGTTCACATTCCTTCCTCTTAAAAAAAGAGTGGAATTTTAAGAAGACAACAGCAATATCTCAAGTAGTAACTAAGAGTTGGTTTGAATACTGTTGTAAAGACATGGTCTTTAAAGATGAGTTCTCCGAAGCTTTCAAAGGAAATAAGTGCAAATTTCTGAATAATTTTTATATAGATGTTTTTTAATGAGGCTACTTAGCACTGGTTGAATAGCCTTTTAAAAAGGCTGTGTGATCTATTAAATAGAAAACTCTTGATTGTGTTGCTGTGAAAGGTTATGGTTATGAGGTTATTTGTGGTTTAGGGAAAGTATAATAGAGGATTTGGGCCCTAGTTGTCTGGCTGTTGCCTTTCAAAGCTAGGTGACTTTGAAAAAGTCACTTAATAACTTTGAGCCTGACTTTTCCTTATTTTTATGCTGAGGCTGATGATATCTCATGGAATGGTTTGAAACAATGTATTTTAAAACCTGTGATAAAATGTTAGAAAAATATAAGCTATTAAGTTGCAAAGAATTATAAAACCCAATTTATTTTCTCTTGCAGATCTGCTGTTTCTTTTGGGTCTCACCTCATCAGTGTGCATAGTGGCGGAAATTATAAAGAAAGTTGAAAGGAGCAGGGAAAAGATTCAGAAGCATGTTAGTTCAACATCGTCGTCTTTTCTTGAAGTATGATGCATATTGCATTCTTTTATTTTTGCAAACTAGGAATTGCAGTTTGAGGATCATTTAGAAGGGCAAATTCAAGAGGATAATGAAGATTTGAGAACTTTTTAACTTTCCATTGACTAAAAATAAGCATTAATGCTAAAGACTTGATTGAAGACTTTAACCTGCTGACAGTCCCAAATGAAATTATGTAACTTTGATAACACATTCCTTGATTTAAATTGGCTTTTGAGATTGAGGGGAACTTTATAAAGCATATGGGCATTTATTTAATTAAAAAAAAAAAAAAAAACACGGTGAAACCTAAACCACTTAAAGAGGTCTAACAATACAAATACACTGTCTATCTTAGATAGATATAAATATTTTTTTTTAATTTTTAAATATTGTACTATTTATGGTGGTGGGGCTTTCTTACTAATACACAAATAAATTTAATCATTTCAAAGGCATTCTGTTCAGTTTAGAAGTTGATTCCCAGGAGTGCCATATTTCAGCTACTATATTTCCTTTTTCTGCAATGTAAGCAGTTCAGATACCTTGTGTTACCATTTTTGTATCTCACGTTTTTTGCACAGGATGTGACCACTGTCAAATCACTGTTCTTTTCTTTCTTTTTGTGACTGAAAAGCCTATACTGCAATTTGAAGTAAATGTTTGCTTTTCATAGTAAATATAACTGGTTGCTTATTTTCCCCCAGCTATGAGTCTTTGGTATATCAAAATTAATATAGGGCTCTCAATGGCATACTAGTTAGATTAGTCATGTGTGTAGTTAACAGTCAAAAATTTAAAAATATTTAAGACTGATTTGGCTTAAATTTACAAAAAATTAACATGTAATATCTTCTTTTAGAGTTAAATATAAATATACACTTTGTCAGATACTATTTTGTCATTCCCTATATATAAATTCAAGTAGCATACCTGAATAACTGAATTTATTTTTAATGTCCTTTTAAGTATCTTTCTTAGGAAGTTTAGAGTTTTATACTTAAGAATAAAAAAGCCTTAAGACCAAACAGATGGTTTCAGAACCAGAGTCTGTGTGGAAGGTTCCATGCTGGCCTTGCTCTTCATTTGTCTGCAGCCTGTCAGGCCTACTTATTCCTGCCTTCTTTTCATTGGGTATGCTAGAGAAATTGATAGGCTTGCTCTTGTATTGCCATCAGTTTTTAGGATAGTTTGATGAGGTATAGGTAATTTGTTTAGAATGTATGACAAATTTGGGCCACACATTCAAAATTACACATCCATTTTCCTGTTGACTTTCTTTCCGAAACAAATGGCTCTTAAATTTGGAGTTTAATTCTTCCTGAAGCGAGTGAGTTTCATATTTTATAATTATTCTTTATTTTATAAACTTTCAGGATAAGCCAGTATATTTTTTTTTATCACCAATATTAAGCTGCGAATATTAACACTAAAATGTTATTATCAAGAATAGGGAAAATATCTATACTTTCAGTCCTTGTTAGTGAAACAGTTGAATATAAGGACTAAGACGTTTGCAGTTTAGTCTGCTTTACTCTTTAAGCCTCAGTAGTCCAAAAGAAAAAAGATAAAAGACTCAATAGTCAGATCTCCTTAGCTAGAACAAGAAAGCCATTGTCTAATTAGTTTTATTTTTAGTGACATGATTTCTCACTCCTGAATTTTATAATGACTTTTCTTATTTATTATAAAGACTTGAAATATATATTGAGTTCATATTAGTCTTTTGCTTTGGCATTGTAGGTTCAGAGTATAATTTAGATGAAATAAATATGCCTATTCTGTTGTTTGGTTTTTTGAACAACAACAAAAATTTCATAAGTTAATGACCTTGCAGTTGGGATTGTTAATATTAAAAACATATGGTGTTTAAGATAACAGAAATCAGGCAGTACTCATATTACGTAGAATCTGTAAAGAGAACTGAAATGTGCGGTACAGATCCACTATATCCAGGGTTCAGTTCTCCATAGTGCAACAACAGATTAGGATATTTGTATATATGTCTTAAGTAGTGTATTATCCAAATTAGGATGGGAAATTTAAATGCTTTAGTGTCTAAATTTTTATTTTTTTAACCTAATTTTTCAGTCCTAGGATTTGCTAGAGTTCCTAATAATACTAAATTACTTGATATTTTTCTGTTAGACTACCTCATGAAGATATTTGGCCCCAAAGTGATTAAACATCAGGGAAGTAAAGAAAGGAACTGAAATAACTCATAGTTCTTAGATGATTAAAATAGGCTGCAAAGAAACAAGGCTTAAGTGTGTTCTCTAACGTTTTACTATTTCATGATCCAGAGAGGAAACAGAAAGAAACCAGACAACCTAAGTCTCTCGCCACCCACCTAAGCATACAGACTTTATTTAATAGCTGTGGCCACACTCGGCAGGATACAACACTTTTTTTTTTTTTTTTTTTTTTTTTTTTTAACCTTAAATACTTATGCAAGGTACATCTTTTACATTGGTAGTCTTTCTGAAATTCTGTAAATTTTTATCTCTTTTATGTAGGACATAAAGGGAGTATTGGTCACACTTAAAATAGGTTCTCAATGAAATGAATTGGTAGCAACAATAATAAATATCTTATCTAAGAACCTTAATTAACTTTACCTTGCTTTCTGCCTCTGTCATTTGGCAATTCATGAGCATTTTACTTCCACATATGACTCACCCAAAAACTTTTATTTAGTAACTGGAGCACACTAGGAATAGGAAGGTGATGGCATCTGTACCCTAATGTGGCTCATGGACACGCTTAGCAGAGGATATAATTGTTACCAAGCTGTTTCATGAATCATAGTAATGCATATTTATTTTAAATATATATTTAACATTAAAATGAATCTAGCACACATTTTACTGGCAGTTTACCTTGACATTGGCATTTTGAGATCTTTGAAATGCCTTTTTAGACTAAGCTGCAATCCAAACAGTAGCTGATTTGCATACTAAAATATGATGTGGGTAAATAGAAATCCTAATGGGTAAGTGACCAGACAGACATACCATCCTAATAATTAGGTGTCCTTGAGCTCAGATAGCATTTGATATGGTAATTGCCTCTTAAAAGGATTTTGGTTTTCAGAGTTGGTTATTGTTAACAATTGGATAATAGTTAACCAATTCTTGATATTAATCTATATATGTAAAAGCCTAAGTGACCATTATGCCCAACTGACAGACAACCTGCCGATCGGCCAGTAGCTATGATGCACCGGGGGAAGACGTTCAACACAGGAGCTTCCCCCCGGTGGTCAGTGCTCTCCCACAGCCAACCTCCCAAGGTCTCTCACCCCTGGCTGGCTGGCCCCCATCGCCCTGATCGCTGGTGGACCGTTATTTCTTCAGCAATATTGCATTGTTCTATTTAGTAACCCTCTGAGTAGAAACCGCATCTCACAGTTTTAACAATACACAGTGCTGGAAATTGGGCACATTTTTCTACCTGAGCCTAGAGGTCTATTTTGGGGTTCTGAGTATTTCCAGCTTTTGAACTCTAAACAAAATATGCTTTTAAAAACAGTTTATTAAAAAAAAAAAAAACAACACACAAAAAAACATATCCACTCAGCTCTATTCAAAATAATTTTCTACTCAGGCCTTCCGATGCTAAGTATACTGAATTTCACATTAGTTGAGAAGTGACAGTTTGGTGCCATCTTATGGTCATACAGAAAATATTGTAATGCCTTGACCATTTGCTATTTTTCATGAGGTCTGCATCTTAGAAGCATAATATATAAGAAATTTTGTGAATCTTAGAAAATATTATCCTTGGAGTGATATATAGCAGCCCTCCCTGCCAAGTAAGTGGTTAGGGAAAATATAGGCTTGATAGGAAAGATATGATAAACCTTACATTTAAGCATTAAGTTTTATGAAGTTAAAAATAAGTATGTTTTTATGTTTTATTCTCACATTTATCCATATTATTGCAAGATAGAATTTGCATTAGAATTTATAAGTGTCTACATGGAGCAGATCTGGTGGCTCATGAATTAGCTAGAGGTGTTACAAGTTAGGGAAACAATTTATTTTCTTACTTGAGGCCTGGTGCACAGATTAGTGCACCAGTGGGGTCCCTTGGCCTGGCCAAAACCAACTCCCTGACATCACCGAAGGGGTCCCGGATTATGAGGCCAGGTCAAGGGACCCCACCGGTGCACAATTGGGGCCAGGGAGGGACTGCAGGAGGGCTCCACAGTGTGTTCAGCCCATCTCGCCCAGTCCTGATTGGCCAGACCCCAGTAGTAAGCTAATCTACCGGTCAGAGTATCTGTCCCCTTGTGGTCAGTGCATGTCATAGCAACTGGTCAAATGGTTGAATGAATGATTGGACACAACATATTAGGCTTTTATTATATAGGATTACCTCCCTAACTCATCCCCATGGGGCTATTGAATTTAGTTTTGATTTGACAAAGTATAGGATGCAGGCCAACTCTGCGGTTAGATTTGTAAAATTTTCTTAAAACAACTATACATTTATTTATCTACTAAAGGCTTAGTGCATGAAATTCGTGTACAGGTAGGATCCTTAGCCTGGCTGATGACCAGGGCTGATCTGTGGGATGACCAGTAGGGCAATTGGGGGGTCCCCGCTGGCACCCACGTTAGCTGGCCTGGGACCTGTGGGCTGGGGGCAGCTCCTGTGTTGAGTGACTACCCCCTGGTGGTCAGTGCACATCATACTGGTCAGTGTGCATCATAGTGGTCAGTGTAGTTCTGCCATTTGGTTGAATTGCATGTTAGGCTTTTATTATATAGGACTAGAGATCCAATGCACGAATTTGTGCACTTGGCAGGGGGTGGAGGGTTCCCTCAGCCCAACCTGTATCCTCTTGCAGTCTAGGAGCCCTCAGGGGATGTCCAGCTGATGGGGAGAGGGCCTAAGCCATCGGTTGGACATCTTTAGTGTTGCCACGGAGGTGGGAGAGGCTCCTGCCACTGTTGCGTGCTTGTTAGCTGTGAACCTGGCTTCTGGAGCCCTGACCACCA